TGGAGTAGTGCCTTCAGCCGAAGGACACTGAGGAGGAGCGGTGGAAGCAGGATGCTTCAGAGGAGCGCTAACAGTTGAGGCAGAGTGCTGAGGAGGTGCGGCTGAGAAGGAACCAGGCCGTAAGAGCAGTTGATCGGACTGCATCAAGGCCTGGTCCCAGAGGAGTTTCCGCAGACGGTTCTCCCTGTTCTTCCTCGCTTGCTTGGTAAATGCCAAGCAATGGCCGCACTTGTCAGTCCTATGTCCCTCGCCGAGGCGGCATAGATCATGCAGATCTGCAGGCGACATTTTGGATACGCATTCGGTGCATTTGCGGAAGGCTGCTCGCTGCGCCATCGTAGAAAAAGAAGAAAAGACGACAGGATAGAGGGTACGATATTTTTGTTTTTTTTTTGTTTTTGTTGAAAGAGTAGTAGGGAAAAAAAGGAGGAAGATATACAAACTTGAAATATAAGAAGTGAGTTGAAGAAGGGATAAAGGCAAAAAACGAACAGTAAGCACAAAGATCTGAGCGAGGGACGTTAACAGGCACAAGGCACAGCGAACGGCGGTTGCAAAGACTGAATAAAATGGCGGACACTCCACTCTATTTATACCACTGGGAGGGAGGGAGCGGAGTTTTCGGCGCAGCACCCATATGTGTGATGCACAGAGGCCGCGATGAAGAACAACTATTGAGTTTTTGTGAACAGGTCTCCCTCCCCTCTGTCTTTCCCTAGAAGGTTTGGATGAAATCTGAGCAGAGCAGTTCTTTTATTAAACTTAACGGGGTGCAGAATAGGATTTATCGAAGCAGTGTACTTCTTGGTATGTGGGAGAAGCTTCTGCCTCCTTCCTTGCTTTTCAGAAAAGCTTCTGATTACTCTTGCTGCTGGAGAGACAGACAACAGGAATACCAAACCTTTTCTAATTGTTCTGTCTGTAGTTTCCTGACTGGATCAAGGAACCCTTTCTTCACTGTGCCCCACACCCCAGATCTAAAACATCTCTTTTTCTAAGTGGGCTGCTTCTCATGCTTTTTCTGAATCTTTACTAGGTGACCTTGAAATGACCAAGTCATTTGCCTCCTTCTCCTCAGAATTGGATGGATCTATCTGAACAGATTGTAATGTGCAAGAGCTTGCCCCCATGTCTTGTTCACTGTGTCTTAACAATACAGTAAACAAGAGTGCATATCCATAAGCTCTTGAACTAACCTTCATGAGAGACATGGAGAAAAATAGTATCATCATACATGAAGAATTTCAGCAGTGAAATTCAAAGCGAGTCAAACTCCTGCAGGTCGTGGTGCAATGGTCACAGCTAGACTCACACACATAAAACCACCTGTCGCATCTGTTTATTGGGGTTGAACTGTAGTTTATTGCAATTATCTGATCCATTATCATCCCAGAAGCTGATTTAGCATATTGACAGCATCTTCTGGATTTAATGAAGTGAGAACATTGATGTCAAGACACAATGTCTTCGGTTACTCCATTATGTGGTTTCTTGTAGATCAGGAGTGAGCAACTGCTGAATGCCCAGGTGTAAGTTCAGACCTTGATCCCTCTCCTGTGGGGCTTCTTGTTAAAAAATTACCAGTTTATTCCAGGGATGACCCTAACCCTAAACCCTGCCTCCTGGGCAAGGTGACGTGTTTCTTTGTAAAAACTGCATGCCCTTTATAGGGAAGGAGAACCTGGAACTATTCCTCCCACCTCTCACCTGGGTGAATTCCACCCATTCCTGCTATCCATCAACTCACTAGGGGAGGTATCTAATCATATTTTCATTTCGTTTCCCAGTATTGAAAATTGTTCAGACTTACTTTGCAGCCCCTGGAAGTGGTCTCTTTGGTGCCAAGCCTGCTGAAGCTGCCTACCAGTGCAGGCCCAGTCAGTATGAGCACTCCTTAAGTGCTCTTCCACACTGAAAAGGGCCAGAAGCTTGATGTCAACTAACTCTGGGAGATGAATATAATCATAATAAAAGCAGTAACACACCATTAGCATAGAAATATTTTATAAAGACAAAAGTGTGTGATAATCTATTTTTCTATTTGTCTTGTGCAAATCCACCTAGAAATTCAATTATTTGAGCCCCTGTTAGATGAGTCTTCAATAAGTACATTAAGGTTCTTTGCTCTTTTCCTTTTGGAGTTATGGTCCCTAGCCATGTATATTGTACATGTGCAGTCTGGCACCTGCAGCTCCAAACGTATCTAAGATATAGTTTGTGATTTAGTAGAACCACCACTAGAATAAAATGGAAAGCAGCTCCATGCACAAATAGGAAGTTTAGCATCACAGTACTTGTTTAAAAGGCCTGATTGTACATATGTGAATCAATTCCCTCCAAACTAACAGTGCTACTGATGTGATGATGCACATGCATCAGTTGGCGAGCAACTTTTATTTGTTAATAAAATTTGTACCTATTTGCACTCATGGACTAGGTGGAACAAATGCTCCATTTTCCTTGGCTAGCAATGCTTCTGGAATTTGAGGCATCAGATACCATATAGAACAGACATCACATTTTCAAAAAGATTATCTTTTGTGAAGGGAGTTGCATACTAGCCCTTTACCACATTGAGACAGTTGGTATGTGGTTTAAATCATACTGAGCCTATAACATGCACAAGACATAAGACTTCTGAGTATTCATTCCGTTGTATGGCTCTCCCTTTTGGCCTTGGCATGTAGAATCAACTCCTAACTTGCAGTTAGGCTTGTTCATGAAACTGCCAGAACTTTTTTTCCCAGACCATGCAGAAGAACAGTGGTTCTTACCTCAACTTTGCCTAACATATTCTAATTCAAATATTCATCTTTGTGCTTGATTAGTATAGGAAAATGTATTGCACTATTTTCTGATAGTTCTGATATAAAATTAAAAGCATTAATAAAGGTAAGCTTCTTAGCTACCATTTTTGTTCAAAACAAAAAAAAATCTCACTACCCTATCAGCGACAGATAGTGATAAAAATGAAAAACATGCATATTTGACAAAAATCAAAAATGAAAAAAAAAACTATTGGCTAAATGAACACATCTACCTCACTTTTGCATCTACCTCACTTTTGAGTGTCTTACATATCCAAATTATGAAGATATAGATGGGAGTTTGTTGAAAGAAAAAAGGTAACAGAGAGCCAGTGTGGTGTAGTGGTTAAGAGCATGGGATTGGGACTCAGGCGATCTGGGTTCTAGTCCCCGCTCAGCCATGGAGCCAACTGGGTGACTTTGGGCCAGTCACAGACTCTCAGCCCAACCTACCTCACAGGGTTGTTGTTGTGGGGATAAGATGGAGGAGGAGAATGATGTAAGCTGCCTTGAGCCCTTTGTAGGAAAAAGGCAGGATATAAATGGAAAAATAAATAAATAAATAAAATAACAGCACATAGCAGTCATGGAAAAGGAACTATTGGATAACTGAGCACATCTACTTCACTTTGGAGTGTGTTGCATATCCAAACTATGAAGATATAGATATTAATTTGTTGGAACAAACAAGATGTCAGCACATAGCAGTCATACTTTCATAACCTAGTCAGACTATGATATCCAACAAGTATGTAAACGAAATATTTTTCAGATGACTGTTCAGAATCATTACTGAATATGTTAGGGTTTTGTTTGACAGAATTTCCATTTTAGATACACAAAAAGATTATAAAATGAAACAGATGACAATATTCCTGAAAAACCATGTCATCACTGGTTGTTTATATTCTAAATGTATGACTTAATATTCTTAAAATTCTGAGAGTCTGGTATAAGCAAGGCACAAGTTCTCTTTTCAGGATTAGCATTTACAGGAATTTACATTATATTATTATGATCATTACATTTATTTATATTCTGCCTACTCCCAGAGATTGGAACTCTAGACTGCTCACAACATTCAAATTACACAATTAAATCATTCTCAAGTATACAAAAGCTAAAAATACAACTGAATCAAGTACATATTAAAATTAAATCACTACATAGCTTAAAAACAGTTTAAAAAACATAAACAGTAAGATTAACCCAGTGCAAACTCACCGATCATTCCCAAGTACTTGCTGGAATAAAAAAGTTTTGGCCTACTTATGGAACCATGACGCAAAAGCCACCAGTCTAGTCTCCCCAGGAAGGGTGTTCCAAAGCCTTGGGGCAGCCACTAAGAAGGTTCTCTCCTGCATTCCCACCAGAAGTGTCTGTGAAGGTGGTGGGGCCAAGAGAAGGCCCTCCCCAGAAGATCTTCGAGCAGGCACTTATGGGAGAATATGGTCTTTCAGATAGCTTGGACCCAAGCCATATAGGGCTTTATAGATCATCACCAGCACTTTGAATTGTGCCTGGAAGCAGACTGGGAGGCAGTGAAGCTGTTTCAGTGGAGGAGTTGTATGCTCCCTGCAGTCATCTCGTCGGCAGACGGCCCACAGTTCCCTGAACCAGCTGATGTTTCCAAACACTGGTCAGAGGCAGCCCCACATACAGCATGTTACAGTAATCCCAACAGGATGTAACAAAGGCATGTGTCACTGTGGTCAAATCAGACAATTGTGTTGGAGCTGGGCTACTGTATGTGCTGAAAAAATGAAGTAAAGTAGCATGAGTTTTTACCATGAAGGTTCTGTTTATATTGCCAATTAAAATATCCACACCCTTGGATATTGAATAAACATCTAATTTTACCATGGTTCTTCCATGGAGCAAAAGAGCAAGTTAGGATTAGAAAGATACCATTTAAAAGGAAAAAAATAGAAAAAATGTTTTGCCTTATCCCAACCCAATGTTTTACCTTATATATTAGAGTGATTTTACTTATGTGGTGCTATGCAAGGATGAACTGTCATTTAAACTTTAAGGCTGATCAGACATTGAGAATTTCAGAATGCTGTTTCTTTTGCAATAATGCAGTCATTTTATATTCATATCAATTATACATTTAAAGTTTAACAGGAACAGTCCTGGGACAGAACTACCAGACTGCACTAGCACTTAAAAAGCACACAGACCACTGAGGCATTTATAGGTTCAAATCTTTATTGTTTTAAAATTCTACACGTCTTTTACAATACAATAATTTGTTACTTAAATGGCCTTTTTATAGTTAATGTACAATGGATTCTCTCCCCACCCCTCCCCCCGCAAAACTCAGTCATGAAATACAATTTCATCAATATGATTTTTTCTAAATAGATTAATACAAGAGTTCTCTGTGGCTTGGGAAGATTCAGCTGCTTCATTTAAATACAAGCACAGATACTTCCCTTCAAAATCTGTGATCAATCCTTCAAAAACACTTTTGAAGACTGCAGACTTACCTACGAATGATTCATGTCAGCCTAACAAGTACTTTTCTCTCTCTCTTTTGTATCGAACGGCTTTTTAATGCAGTGAAGCAAGTTGCCGTAGTTACCTTCTCGTCTACTGAGGCAAACTCATGTTGAAGAAAATTATGATTATCTGCATGCAATGAACACTCCTTTTTAAATAGCTGATGAATTTATACATATTATAAAGAATCTGTTAAAGAGTGCAAGTACTTTGATAATGATTTCACAAAAGGACATATGCTGGTAATGATAGCTAACATTTAACACCTAATATGAACTAATATATATTTAACAGGCAATTAACATGGCTAGTAAATAAGCCATGATACCCAGGATTTGCCCTTTCAGAAAATGAACTCATTTGGTCCACACTTCTAAAGTTATCCAGGTAAAAAACTGGAGTAGTTAGGCCAGACACTGTGATGAACTTGTTTCTAAAATGTAACATTAAAAAGAAAAAAATATGGTGGAGTGTTGTCATGTGACCTCAGTATAAAAAGATGGCCTACTACTTGGGAGTGATGAATGAGCACTGAAGGCCAAGCCAAAACATAAGGTAATGAGTTGCATTTCCATCCTGTGTTATACTTTCTTGTTCCATGGCACTGCTTTCACTCTGTAGAATTTTGTACCCAGAGGAACTTTGAATCTGTTTTGTGCCTAGGCAAAAAACAAAGAGTTATTTCAAACATTGGACCAAAACTAGTCAGAAGACAAGGCTGGGGTTTCTAGACTCAAAACCTGGTTTTGTGCGGAAGTGGGTAAAATTGCCAGCTACGGGACATTATATCTTCTTCCATCAAACAATTCTTATGTTAGACATATTGTCTATTATTTACACACAATAATGGTAGCACTAATAGCTGCACTATTTCTGCTGACTTAATTATGTACATCACATGTCCATTATGATTGTTTTGAGATGCACATGAAATACATGCAATGCAGAGGAAAAGACAGATCTCTGAAAAGTCATTAACTCTGGCTCCTAATGTAGATAAGAATTCTAACAGGATAACATGTTTTAAGCAAGTTGAAAGATAACTGGGGAGTGAACATTTTGAACTATGGGGCGGTTCACACGTCATGCTAGGCAACCCTGCAAATACACCAGTCAGTAGACTGATCATGGAAAAGCCATGCTATGTCTCATAAACAATCAAGCACACTATGGGTTGTTCTTCCTGCTGTTCGCCTTTACTGTCCCACTAGTATTCCACCATCCTTTGTAGCAGAACCTATCTTATGTCCCTAAGCCCGTTCCAGTTAATAACACTTCTTGTTTACTGCTATTTTTTCTAACTTTCTCAGTTTCAAAACTGCAAGCTAGAAAAATGGCCTCAGAAAATGATGAACTTGTTTGCTATTTTTTTTTAAGTTGTTGTTTTGGAAGCACATAAGTATGCACTTACAGGTGTGTGATATCCAAAGTCTTGCCTAGCTGATGCCCTTGCCAGTTGTCAAAGGGAACAAAGTGTGGTTGGTAGTATGGATGGAATTTGATAAGGTAAGACTGCATACTCGTAGAGGCTAATCTGTGCAAAGTTTCCACACTGATTGGGACAAAATGAATGGGGTCACATGGGGAGGTAATGTAAGTCCAGCTGGTACTGGCACCCCATTGCTCCACCCTGTTCTGCCACTTGTAAGTTGTTGTTGTTGTTATTATTATTACTATTATTTACCTTCTGGAAGATTTGAGGGGTTTATTTTCTGAACTGAGAAATATATGCAAATTCCATGGATGGGAAGTAAATGTAAGATGAAATGTAGGCATATTTCATGGCTGGGAAAAAGGTAGAATATGTTCTATTTTCTCTCCACTTGTACCTCAGCCATGGCATTTAGTATATAGTTCTCTGTCTAAACAATAGTGCATTCTTTGCTCCTTTTGACTGCTGAAGCTAACAAATACTGGATAGCTATTGATCCACACTGAAAGACCAGCCCACCTCCCACCCTCAAAAAAAAAAAGAAAAAAAAGGAGAAAGCAATGCAAAGATATTTGCACACAATTCTACAGCTGGGAAAAAAAGATAAAAGGTGGCAAACCAGTTATGTTCACTCCAAAGTACTGCTTGGGCATTAGTGGAGGGGCTGTCACTGACAGTGGCTTGGGAGAGATTGTGAAGAATGGTAAGGGGGATTATCAAATCAATACAAATAGCTCATTTAAAACAAATTTCAACATATTTACAAGTCACTTTTTCTGGGCCAAAAGCCTGCCAATGAAAGGTCATTAGATACAGAGTCACCTGAATCTTCCACAGCAAGCATTCCAGATCCTGGAAACAGTTGTCAAGAAGGACCTCTCCTGGACTCTGAACAGCTGGACCAAATATGCTCCAGGTGTTGGTCCTCTTTGAAGTCCTTAAGACCCTGACAGGCTCAAAAGGGAGGATATTGCTCTCAGTTCAGGTGGTCACAACCAGTATTTGAATTATGCGCAGAGATGGACCAACAGTCAGTGAAGCTGTTGCAACAGGGATATCACATACTGATTCTGGTCAATAAACTGGCTACAGAATTTTGAAGCAACTGAAGTTTCTGAATACTCTTTCAGGACAGCCATACAAAGAGTGCACCATTATAGTCCAAAGAGGATTTTATTAAAGTGTATGCCACTGTGCACAGATTTACAATGTCAAGTAATAGACACACTTGGCACACTAGCCTTAGCTCCTGGGCACCTCTGAACAATGGGCACCACATTCAGAACTGAATTCCAGAAATATTTCAAAACTCTGGATTTAACTCTCCAAGGGAAGAGTAACTCCATTTTAGACAAGTTTAAACTGATCTCTCCTAATCCACCTTTTGACTGACACCTTTGTGTCTTGCCTGGACTGAGCTTCATTTTGTCATTGGATCAAATACTGGCATGAATTCAAAACCTGAAGAACATTCTTGAATTTAGACAGAAAGAAGAGACTTCAGGTGTCATCAGCATACTAGTAACACCAAAGCTCCAATTTCTGGTTGGCCTGCCTCATCAGTTTCAATGGGCAATGTGCAAAAGTATCTTCTGAAACTATTCTTTCAAAGAACAGAACTGGAACAGCTGTAAAACAGTGGTTCCAGTGTCATTACAGTCAGGCAGTGAGGAAGGATATAATTGCACTATTGAAAGCTCTGGGATCCAGCAGTACCAACACTCTCCCTCACCAGGTCCAAGCAGCAGTTTGGTCTGATTTTGTGATGAATGAAAGTGACTGTGGGTGAATTACCTTCAATATTACTCTTAAAAAAGAATTGTGAGTAAAGATAGTACTCAGTAAGTTTAAAGATACTGAAACCCTCTTAATCCAATTTTAATTCACCATACTGAAACAAATGTTGAATCTTTACCTTTTTTGCCTGACAATATTCCTTTTCCATGACTTTTCCCAACACCCAAGGTCTTCGAGATGCACCTGAAGCTAGAAAGATTTTTTGGTCACTAGTGACATAATATACAATTATTGTCCCATCTCTTAAAATATGTTCAAAAGTGTACAAGGTCTACCAGTCACTTCATTTTATTGTTAATTACTTGATGGGGGATAAATAACACCTCCACACACTTGACATCATTTTACATATTACAGAACTCATATCACTCTGTTTTAAGCTTGCATTATTTTTCCCAACTTATATGAACAGATTTCATTATATTGCATAATATAAAAACTTTTCTAAGTAATTAGATGTTCATAACATAAGTCTTATTCAGGAATGAAAGCAGATAAGTGTTGGAGAACAGATCTTAACCTTCCCCAAGCTGTTGACTTCTGGATGTATTGGATTACACCTCCCATAGGCTGGTAATTATGCAAGTTGCAATCCAACACATCGGGGGGGGGGGGGGGGGTAACCAAATTAGGGAATGCTGGTCCATCTTCTCCTCTACACATTAGCTGCTATCAGATTATTATATGCAACTTTAAAAGAACTGAATTCACATGCTCTTTTACATTTATTATTGGAGCATACTGCTGATTTACAGCCATTAGTGTCTAAGCTAACACTTTATATTTACCAAATTTTAAATTATAGGATGATGCCATATAATAGGCTGTAAAGACTATTAAAAAGAATTATTAGTCAATTTGCATGATGGTGTTTTTTAAATGACCATCACAAAAGGAGAGAACTTATACCTATTGTCATCTAGGCCAGAAATATTTAATTTTTTCTTATTAATAGCTGGGAATGGCTCTGCATCCCTCTGTAGTGTTTCTAAAGTACACGTTCAGCTGCTGTTTTTACCATCACTAGAGGAGAGAAATCTGCTACCTATGATTTGATCTGTCTAGGCCAAAGGTGTTTCATCCTATTCCTAGTAACACCTGGGATTGACAACTGACAATGTTTCCCTCTGAGTTTAGCTTTATTTTTGGTGACAATAGAATTATTAACTGCTTTTATTTTTATGATGTTTTATATGCCTCCTATGAAATTGTTCTGTCTTTCAATATGAATAGGAATGTATTATTTTCCATTATGCTTTGCTGTGAACTGCTTTGCTCATACTGTATGGAAAATTAGTAGAGAATGACTAAAATTATACTTAAATATAATCTTAATTAAATCAAGCATGTATATAACTTTATATATCTAAATGTATAGATATATTTGTAAGTCTGTACATACAATACTACAACTTTATCCAAAATGATAAAATATTTTGAATATATCAGATAAATAACATATCTATCTATCTATCTATCTATCTGTCTATCTATCTATCTATCTATCTATCTATCTATCTGGCATATTTGTATGTTGTACACATAGCCATGAGGCTCTCATTATGACACTTACCACACTCACCTGGTTTGAGATCAAGTGCAGTGAGCGATTCTGAGTGCAAGAAATACAAAGTTGGGCTAACGGTAAATAATACATAGTTGTCATGGCGTTCATCCAAAATAATGAGAACCAAATCGCCAACCTGAAAACTGGATATAAAGAACAAGGCTTAGAAGGATATACTGTACAGCCCTATATATGTTCACTCAGACCAAAGTGTTACTATATTTAACAAACTTAACTCCTAATAAAGGACTGCTGTATATGTCTTTATGCCTTTTTAAATATGCATTTAGCTGGTGGAGACTCTTACATGGATGTTAATATTTTGCAAGCAACATGGGCTTGTAAAACAGACATCTATATTGAACAGGCTGCAGTTCTATAGGAAGAATCATACTGTGTTCAAGACTTGGTACCCTCAAGATGATGTGGACTACAAATCCCATAATCTGACCATTGCCCATGACAGCTAAGGCTTATAGCAGTCGGAGCCCAAAATGTAATGTCATTTTGTAAACCTTGCTGCGTCACTCTGAGTTCCTTTGGGAGGAAAGATGGTATATTAAATAAAATATTTACGCAACCAGAGGCACAGCATTCTTTTTTCTATTGATGATAATCTGTTCAATTATATTGCATTTAAAAGTAAGAGGACCCATCTGGATCCTTAGTATCATATATAATAATATAAGCTCCTGCTTACAGTAATTAATTTTTACTAAATTTGGTATTGTCAATCCACCTCTCAGAGCAGGGCTAAATTTTACAATGCTTCTAAATCTTAAGCTTTTATTAGTCCCAGCTAAGTAAATATTTCCATTTTTATTTTTCTATTTTTTTAGGCTAGGATTTTATTTTTTTAAGATGTGTATACAAAGATATATTTTGAAACAGAAATAAAAATTCTAATTAAGTGTTTAAGGCAATTATGTAAACTGAAATGAACCAAAGGAGATAACCAATCCACTCAACAAGTTTCTGAAACCATTTTTCAGTCTGTATTAAATTAGCTTTTTCAAGAAACACCTAGCATACTAGGATCTTGATGTTAGTCTGTTCTTTAGAAAAAGTGGTGCTTGACAATTATCAACATATATACTTACTCTCTAATAGCAATTTTTTCAGAATGTCTTAGAGACACTGAAGACATGCTTTGAGACATCTGCAAAAATGAGAAAGCATAATTATCCTCTGCCAAGTTGTGATATAATATGCTTAGGGCACAGCTTAATCAAAGTCAGTCTGAGAACATACTGAACTAAAACAGAAGCCTTTGGATTTTGACATTACTATTACCACTTAGTATACTGCCTAAGGACCGAAATAGGTCACTAGGGGATTTCCTTTCAATGCAAATTGCAGTTTCTCTGGGGAACAGACAATCAGCTGCACTATAGAGTAGGAAGATGGGGAAAATGTGATATTGGGGTGAAATGTGGCAACAGAGAATGTGTGCATGTGCTACATAGTACACAGAGGAGAATAAGGTTTATGCTATAGAGCACTGTAATCCAGGATTTAATCTCAGAGGAGCTAACTGTTCTGGTATATGTGACTAAAACCTGGTTGAGCAAAGAGTCAGGATGTTAATCCAATCCAGCTTTGTCCACAAGACTTTTACATGCAGCAACACATTTGATTTGATAGGTAGGAAAGTGGAATCAAAGTGATCTACCTTGAATTCATTCTCTTACTGCGGTACATTTTCCAGAAATCTCCAAGATTTAGGCGTGAGCACCTTACAATACACAGCAGCAAGACAAGACAGGGATGATGGCAAAAGAAGAAGGGGACAGCAGAGAATAAGGTCACTCCATAAGATGGAGTCACTAAAGCAGTTGGTGTGAGCTTAGGTCGACTCCAAGGGATGGTAGAGGACAGGAAGGCCTGTAGGAATGTTGTCCATGAGGTCATGATGGGTTGGACGCGACTTCGCAACTAACAACAACAGCAACCATCCACCCAACGTATCCCTGCCTGAACAGATTCAAGGTGGTCTTGAAGGTTTCAAAGACGTTGGCATCCTTCAAACTGATTGCGTTGGTGGACTACCATATTCAGGCCAATTCCCTTTTCTATGAATGGGTTAGGACTTCATAGCAACCATGGAAATGCCTCCACTAACATCTGACCTGACAGACAACACACGCTTGTTCTGGTTTTTGCTAGATGAGCTGAAGATAATCTGTTGGATGCAGCAGTAGTGGGTGGTGTGCTAAAACAACAACAATGATGTGCACAGTACAGGTTTTACTACTGAGATGTCGGTATCCCCCTTCCCTTCCCAGTGAGGGAAGAAGGGCATTAGCACTCTTTTCTAATTTTTCTTATTTGCTGTAATTGTTACTAAATTTTACTTTAATGGCACTTACATTGCAGTTATTGTATTTAGGGGCAGTATTTGCTTTTTTAACTTTACATTTAACATTAAAATAGAATATATGAAATAATTCTACATCTTGTTCATAGTTCTGTACGTACCGAAGAAGGAAAGAAATGCCTAATAAAAATAATAATGCAATGCCTGCATGAAGCTTTAAGTTTTAATACTTGATGTACCACAATGTATGATGAGGGGACAAAATTGTTTAATATGTGTTCCCAGAAGATAGGCTGGTACAACTACAACCATTTTTGTAGGAACAGAATCAATTCACAGTATTTTTGTAAGGATACCAAGGTGATATGAATCTGCTCCCCTTTCATTAAGTTTTTCCTTTCATTAAAAATGTCCTAAAAAGTTTGAATGTTCAATCAACCATCTTTCACATGTGCTCCAATCTGAATAAATCCTGATATTTGTGGAGAAGATAAAATGAAAATCCAATTGCCTCATCATTTTGCAAGAAAGAAAAAGAAATAGCCCTCAGCAATGCATAAGCTATGAAGTTACCTTATTTAAACATGTCCATACCATGATCACTGATTAAAAACCAAATGCTACTTTGAATGGCAAAAGTTTTTCTTATTCTATATTGTGTACCCTAGCACAGGTTAGACCACAGGTGGGCAACCTGTGGCCCTCTATATTTGCTGGTCTAAACTCCATCAGCCATAGCCAGCATAGCCTATTAACAGGGAAAATGGGAGTTGTTAGCTTTCAAATGTTTTGGTTTAGAAATTACCTACTTCTCGCTAGATTATGACCTTGTACTCTAAATTCATTCAGATTAACTGTAATCCCTGCTTCTGTGTTTATAAGAAATGTAGAGCAGAATTTACACTTCCGTAAGCATGCAATGCTAGATCAGACAAATATATGTCCAAACTTCCCTAGCTGCTCTATTTTGTGCTCATATGGAACATATAAATGAAGGTATGTTCCTTCTGGACAGCCCCAGAAATTTGAACTGGGAGAAGAATACACTTCACAATTCCTCCTTGTTATTAACATCAGACATATGATCAGAAGATTATCATGGTGACGTATATGAAAGGAAGTGTTTACTGATAACATCTTGGAGCATCAAGAAAAGAAATACAGTTATGTCTTACTCGTTTCAAAACCAAACAGTAGTTATAATGATTAAAGACTGGCAAAAACCAGCTTCAAGTTATGCTTACTTATTTGTATAATAATTACTTTTTTCTGTGTAAAATCGCGATGTGTTATTGCCAAAAGCTGTCTTTAATCAGACATCAAGCTCTCAAATGTCCTTTGGGGGATGGCCAGTTTAGCACAAATCAAAGAAAAATATGACAGTTTTACACAGGAAAGCATCTTCTACACAGAAAAGGTTAACAGCAGTTTTGGATGTTGACAAATTTAAGGCTTCAGTTCTAAATACCTAGAAACAAGCAATTTGAAATCAATGAGACTTATTTTCACGTAAATTTGAGTAACTGAGCACACCACTGAGAAATATTAGTCCCACATAAAATACTATTCTATTTCCACATTATTATTATTCAAAAGTATTATAATTGGTTTCATAGTTTCAAATAATTTGTAACAGAAATCTGAGGCAAATTTATATCCAAAGAAGGCAGAATTAAAATAAGCCATACTTGATCATGTGAACTCACCTGTAATAACTAACAACCCTGCATGTATTGTAAGTACAGTGGTACCTTGGCTCACAAACACTTCGGTTCACGACAAAAATTTCATAAAAATGTTAACTCAGGTCATTGGGTGGTGACCATGATCGCGGCCATCCCCCCCCCCCAAGTGGGGAGATGGCTGTGATTGTGCTGGGGGTGGGAGGGGAGATGGCCGAGATTGCCCCCATCTTTCCTGCACAAGCGCACCTGTGATTGCGCCCCTCTTTCCTGCAGGAGCACAACTGCGATCTTGGCCATGTCCCCCCACAACATGATCGCACCCTTCTCCCCCACAAGCAGCCCATGTTCGTGCCCGTCTCTCCACCCCAGCGTGCCCGCATTTGTGCCCATCTCTCCCCACAGCGTGCCCATGTTTGTGCCCATCTTTCACCCCCCCCAGCACATCAGGATGATGGCCGCGTGCAGGGGTGATGAGCTCGATTGCGGTCATGCTGGGGGAGCGGGGACATGGCTGCGCTCATATTCAGGGTGGGGGTGGGGGACATGGCTGCAATCTTTGTTGTTCTTTGTCACTTTGCTTCACATTTTTCTGATTTTAAAAAAATAGTTACAGAATGGATTAACCTTATTTACATTGAACCTTATGGGGAAATTTAACTTGGCTCACAACCATTTTGGGACACAACCAGAGTCCTGGAATGGATTAAGTTCGTGAGCCAAGGTACCACTGTAGTTATAATATGAATGTGGGGGAGAGGGTGGGCAGAGAGCCAGTATTTGAAACAGGGGTATCCTGCCTTAAATCAGCGGTAGCAGAAAATAGTTCAGGATCCACTGGTAGCTCCCTAGGTGATTTTCAGTAGCCCAGCCAGAGTTTCTAATAGAGGTTCAAGCAGTAATGTGCATGAACTTCTTTGCTTCAACACGAATCATGATTCAATATTTTGGTAAATACTGCTTGGACCAATTTAGAGTCTCTGCTTTGAGACCTGTACCAAAGTTTAGAAATCCATCTTTACCTTTCCCCATAGCATAGTGATTAGAACCTCATTGTAATCAAATGGACCATAAGATTACAAGATGGACCTGCCAGTTGCTTCTTTTTCTCTCAGTGGCATTTAGAATTAAGAGAGCAAATGAAAGTATTTGAAGATCAAAACTGGTGTATCTCTAGCACACAAGGGGTTGACAAAGCTTTGCTCTGAAGCACCTTCCTTTCTGTTGGCATTGGAGAAATGTCTGCTTCATGCTAGGATCAAAAGAATCAGAATAGAGCAACCCACTTGAACATGTATCCAAACTCAATGGTTTAACAATAGCAACAAAAGACTGATTCTCCCACCCTTGGATTGCTAAAACATACAAATCAGTGTAAAGTCTAACAACTTCTGCTCAACAGTTGCCTTCAGATTTCAGTTTCGGTTTAATTTCACTCTCCACTTTTCTGAAGTTGGAGGGAAAGCTCTAGGTACTGGACCATGTCTTACACACTTTGAGAAGATAAAGTTTCCTGCATTTTCCCATCTTTTTCCTTTGTTTTGTTTTGATTTGATTTAGTTTTTTCCCCTCTCTCTATCACTTTCTCTCTCTTTTTGTTTCATTAGACAGAATTAAAGCTGATTAATGATATCTGCTCTTAAGAATCAGTGGACTGCAATGGATTGTGCTGTTATTGTGGTTGGAGCTAAAAAGTTTATTTTTGTTTTGTTCTGTTTTGTTAACTTTTCCCCTTGATGGATAGGTTTCATTTATTATTATTTTTCATTCACACTTCATATTCTTGTTTGTTTTTTTAGTGTAAGAATATAGGAAACACAGATGGCATTACAAAGTGTACTATAACTATAATGTAAACCTTGAATGACTCCAAAATAAATTTTTATTTTGGTAAAAAGAACAAGATTTGCATGTGTATAAGGGCAAGCAATTTATTCACAATAATACCATGTTTAAAATGATTCCTTGGAATGTCAAGGGCCTAAGGAATCCAATTCAACAGAAGAAAGTGCTTTCAAAAATAATGTAATATGGTACTGATGTGGACTGTTTTTTTTTTTTTTTTTACAGGAAATGAATCTGAGAGCAGCAGATACACATCAGCTGACAAAAGACTGGATGTGAGAGCTCTGTGGAACAGATACTTCAAACAGGTTTAAGGGGGCAATTATCTTAATCCATAACCAACTTAGTTTCAGTTCAACTAACCATTATTGATCCTGAGGGTGCTTTCTCCAGTCATGTTTCATGAATGTTTTTGCCAACTATTTGGTACTTCTATGATGATGTGATTATGACTGTATGAGATCTCAGATAATCTCTTGGACAGGAATACATCAACACCTATGATGCAAGTAATAGTGTGATTTCCAATTCTAGTGTACAAGGTAAAATTTGGCCACATTAACCTATGGAAAATGTTGATTCATAGCTCTGAAATGTTTCCCTCCTTTTCCAAGTTGGGCTGGTTCTCTTATTAAGCCTGCAAATCTTCACTAGGCAAACTTGAAACTGCAAAGTCATGTGCCCACCTCTGAAAAGTCTTCTTTTGTGCAAGAGTTGGGCCTCCTCTTTACAGGTATTAGACAGGGATATCATCCTTCCCCACTGATATTCAAGTAATGTTTAGATTCCTACAAAGTGCTATTCAACAAAATCCAAATATCCATGGATTTGTGCTTAGTAAGTTATAATTCAAACTTATTACTCATGGCAATGATCTTCTATTATTTTATTTAGCAACTCCATTCATCTGTTCCAGGTTTGATACAGATGATTCATGAAATTTGGATACGTATCTGGTTATTTTATTAACTGATCAAAGCTGAAAATCATTTCTGTTGAAATGATTTTAATCATCATCTAATACACCCCATCATAGTATGCCATCTAACTGGCAGTTTAGACTTCATGCTGAGTCTATTAGCTGGGAAAACTTGTTCCAAGAGTCATATGACAAAAGATTATGTAAGCTGATTAACAAGATCTCAAGGGGCATTGATGGATGTGCATCTATAAAGTCAAGACTATGGGGTAGGGTAAATACACTTAAAATGAATAGAATACTGCAACTTGTTTATACCCACGCAGATAAGCAGATGAAGCTCTCATCCTGCTCTCCCAACATTGTTGCTTCTTAAGGTTTCAAAGTGTATTATTGGCTATCCTTATCTCATTTGTTCTGCTAACAGCCTACTCTGGAACACACTGTGGAGTGATCTGACTGGGTTAGGACTTCCCAGTAAGTCTGCTTTAAACCTGGCAAGCATTTCTAGAAGCTTAATTATTTGTTTTGCACATTTTTATGATGTTCCACTCCACTATGAGTATCTTTGAAAAGGGATGCAACTTTCTATCAAACTGGATAGACTTGGACTCACTGTCCTTTCAATATAATATGGGGACTATCTGTTGACTTGTGCTTGATTTCTGTCTTTTCCACTTATATTAGTTTTCTCTCCTTGTTATTGGAAATATTGATTCAGGTTGAACAATTCCGACTTAAAATTCATGCCTATGTCTATTATCAGTGAATAAATATGATACACAGGGATCAACCAAGAATGGAATATGGTGTGGTGAACTAGTTAAGAGTGCAGGGCCAAGACTCAGGAGATATGAGTTCTAGTCCATGCTAAGACATGGAGCTGACTGGGTAACTTTGGGCCAGTCACAGACTCTCAGCCCAATCTACCTCACAGGGTTGTATTTGTGAAGATAAGATTAGAAGGGGGAGAAGAATTATGAAAGTCATCTTAAGTTCCTTGAAAGGAAAAAAGGATATAAACATAAAAATAAATAAATAAAAGGGTGTGTTGTTATGATCTATTTCACAAGATGTCATGGATCTTAAACTACTCTTAAATGAGGAAAACTGATGTTTGAATATACTGGTTGTCACAGTGTCTTTCTGATAAGGACTTAATTAAATTGGACATTTTTTGGAAGTGTAATGCTGATAATGCTTCTCTTCTCCACATGTTTTGGCAATGCTCAGTGGCAGCTTCCTTTTTTCAAACTAGGTAATAATTCAGATAAAGCTAATGGAGGAAAGTTGTTTAACATTCGAGGATTCATATGTTCATTTGATTTTCCTACCAATCTCTTGGAATTTAATCCAAGGTCACTGCCAGTTTCTGCACTATTTTGACAGTTAAAAGGCTAACATTACAGCACTGGAATAATAAATAGTCCCCTGCAATTGCACAATGGAAGGTGGATTCAATGAAACTTTTCATTTGAATGGGTACCCCTTTAGGTGCAATGTACAAATGGTTAAGTATATGGATATTTCAGGGTCTCTTTGCTGAAGTATATGCATAATTATTTTAATAACAATAGCATGTTCTATTATATTCTAATAGATTGGGATACATAAAATATCTAGTTAGTGCTACGTAATTTTAAATATTTTATTTCAAAGTGTAATGCCTTAGTTTTTTGTTGTTTTCATTTCCTATCCAATGGTGCAGCTTGGTTTTCATATTTTGTGCATGTACATACAGGCACACACAGAGCACATGTGAATCAGTAATGATGGTTTCTTGGAATGCTTATGAGCAAATACTGATTGTACAAAAAAAAAAGAAAGCTACGGGAGGATACAGTAGGAGTTAAGCTTTTACCACTGAACACCCACTTTTACTTTCAAGTAAACATATTTAAACAAACCAACAAACCCCACCACTCACAGAACTGCAACAGCAGCCGATTTCCGATCTCATCAAGTGTTCTAGATCCCCCCGTGGCCACACTTCACTCATTATGACACTATACTACTAAATTCTTTCTGTCAGACCAAGTCAACCTGTTTTGGAAGTACTGTTGGTAAGGTTGCCCCCCCACCATATACCAACTTCAACTGTTTACAGATATTTTTAAAGCATTAATTTTTAATATTTGAACACACTGCTCATGTAAACCATCACACACAAAGACACTTTCAATATTATTTTCCATGTTTTGTTTAAGAAGAAAACTGAAAAGATTAAACCCTGTTCATGATTTTAAAGTATTTGGCTTTTCTTCTGCCTGTTTTTTTGCCATTGCATCCAAAGGTATGTATTAACATTTTGATTTAAAAAGGTATATCCATTGAGTTAGCTTACTTATTACCACATCTTTAGGCATAGTATTTTAATCTGCAAAAATGTACCAAAATGTTGATAAGTTCAACTATATGTTTTTTTTTAAAACAGTACTTTGATTAGCCTTATAAACAACTTACCAATCTTTGATTAAGCCTCTTATTTTCCTCCTCTTTCAGCTGAAGTGTCTGTTAGAGAAGATAGTACAATTTGTTCAGTGTTTTATGTAAATATGTTTCACATTTATTTATTATTAATTTTTATTTTTATATACCACCTCAGTCCCATATGCTCTGGTGGTTTAGAAGAGATTAAAACCAACAACAATTCAAATTAAGAATTTGAATATTCTAAAAACCCATATTAAATAAAACTAATCTGGGAAGGCCTGTCAGAAGAGATACATCTTTCACTCCATCTTCAAGATAGCGCTCTGAGATATCTGATACATCTCTCCTGGAGACCATTCTATCATAAAGCAGGACCTCCCATATGCATGTGGATCAGTTCCTAACCCCCCAGTGGATGCCTGAAACCACAGATAATAGTGAACATTTTTATATGGTACATTTTGTTTTTCACAATTTCATTTGCTCTCACCTCAGCCTATGATTATTTTCTTTCCCCTTTGAAGCAAGAATGTTCACTTACAGAAAGCACTTTACAACTTCTCTTTCAGTTATGGTCTACTGTGGTTAACTGCAAATGCTGTAACTGAGCCAGCAGATATGGGGGTCCTGCTGTATACATTTTCAATATTTTTTGGCACCAATCCAGTGCCCACCTATTTGTCAGTAAGCCTAATTCAACTCAAAACAGATTCACACTACTGTGCCATATAGATTTTAGTAATCCCTCTTTAAGAGTTTAAGAATCAGTTTCTGATATAAGAAAAAACACCTGTTCAGAACAACTGTGCTTTTCACATGATTTAAAAGTGCAGACTGAAATGTGGTATTCTGAAATGACTGATTTATTTTTCTTAAAAACAGCTCTATAACATGGAAACCTAATTCTAATTAAGGGAAGTTACCATTTTTTTCTCCCCCTAATGGGTAGAACAGCCAAAAAGGCTAATAGATGACATAAAACCTCACATAAATCCTCAGAAGTCTTTAGCAAGACATATAAACTTTGGTGATGCTATTCCATTTTGCCCTTGACAACTAGGTCCCCTTTATGACACCTATGCATGAAAGTTTTGGAGGAATTCTAAAACAGTCATCCATGCACTGTGGCTTGCTATAACTCTGGGTTAAAATTCCCTTCACCTCTTACAATGAGGGCTAAGGCTGCTGGAACTAGGAGTTGTAGGTGAAGACATTTGGACCTACAAATGGAACTGGGAGTTGTAGGTCAAAACAAGTTGTCAACTCTGCAGCAGACAATTCATCCACAAGCACTAATTTTTTTGCAGAGCAGTGTGGAATATTCTCTACCTTATTGTCACATGGCTAGCCAGATGAAATGTGCATAAGCTGTTTAAAAACCAGCTACACTTTCAACAAGTCAATGCAAATTAACACACATAATATTGTCACACTAGCAGTAGCTTTCTATGACCTAAAACAAAAGCCTTTTTCATTTGCTGATTTTTTTTAAAGTGGCAATGCAAGGGATTAATCCTGGGGTCAATTAAAGTGACAGCTTTAGAACACATTCAAAGCCCCTTCTCTGAAGTGGCTGGCAGCAATATTTATCAGAAACTATGCAGACTCGGAGAGTAAAACTCCCTTTACCTTTGAGTAAATTGGTCAAAATGGGTCCTATTTTCTTCCAAAACACCCATCATCAACCTGATGTCTTCCAGATGTACTGGACTTTAGTACCCAGCTAGTATGGACATACACTAAATTGCTCCAGAAAAGGGGGGGATACCCCCCCCCCAGGCATTTTCTTCCCTGCTAAATCTTTAGAGCAAGGTTGGCTTTCCATGTGGCTAATTAATTCAGTAAACATACAATAATACATTTATACATGTAAAGTGTCTTCAGGATAGATTAACTATTTTCAAGTAGATTGATATCGGAAAGCAGTTTACTCACTTTTTCTAACAACAATATCCTCTGTTTTTCTTCAGACAACATCTGAACATTTTCACTAAAAACAAACCAAAACCCAGAAACGGTTAGCAAGTAGAGCAACTTTACTAACCTCTTCTGGCTGAGATCAATTATTTTAAGAAATGAACATATCAATTTAAAATAACTGTCAATAATATTGTATTCATTTTGACATTCATTTATTGCAATATAACTGGTAAGCTATTTCTCACTGCTAAGAAATGAATTACAAAATAAATGCTACATCTGCGTATATTTATGCATCATAATGACTCTGAGAACATACATGATATTCACTGATGTTCATTCAACCACCTGATCAGAATAGTGTGCTAAGAATATCAAAGGAAATTTAGCAACTATTTTTGAAGTGAAGAGTCCATACAAGATGCTTTTTCCTTTTAGTTTTCATGTGATAAAGTAGGTGTGTGAAAATATCCCCATGTGCTAATATATATCATGTTACTATGCTCTGAAATTTTCTAGAAGACAGTATGTTTGCAATATGGTACTATGCTGTTCCATTGTGGAGGTTGTTGATTATATGGGAAATGTTATCCCCAGATTGTTATAATGTATCAAGACTTAGGTTTATTTCATACAGGCCTCGTTTACCCACTTAAGTTAATTCTGCATCACTGCAAAAGCTAAATATTAAGCCAGTGACAAGTCAACTGGACAGTATGTCTTTGACAGGTAATTAAATGAGATAAAACAAATAGCTCAAGTTTAGCACTAGTTGAGGCTTGAACAGTAGTTTTTGTTGCACATATATTAAGTTTTGCATAGATAGTGAAACAGTAGCTGCGCATGCTGGCCTACAAAGTGTGAATGATTTAATGCCTGACAAACAGCACATATACATACAATTTCAGTGCTCAGTTCTTACAATCGTTTCACTTAGAAAAGTCACTAAAGAACTACAAAAATTGGTATACCCACAGTAGCTGTGTAAACAATTGTACGCACATAAGTCTACTACCTCATATTTCAGGGAAAACAATGGTTCTTGCTACTTATACAGGGAAGTCTCTGGATGCAAGAGAGTGTACAATAAAAACAGAAACTCATGGACTAAGAAGAAACCAAGTACATCAGTTACAAATCCTGCTGACTTCAGGTGGATTAAATCTGAATAATGATACAGGGTAGCACCACTATCTCAAATACAGTTAAGCATGCTTACTTTAAAGAGGACCTGTGTGTATGCTTGGGGGGTGGGGGAAGGTGTCCAGCAATATGGGTTGTTCAGAAAATTTTAAATTGAAAATTTCTGGAAAACAGTGTTATTTGCTAATGGAAATGTTCTGATGCCCTACAACAGGAATGGGCATGATATCTGACCTAGAACTCCTGTCACCCCTCATTCCTGGCTATGCTGTCTAGAGCTGATGAAAGCTGCATGCCAAAACATCAGGAGGGTCACTATGCTCAGCTATGTTGTTTGGTGAATGCTGCAAGTTGTACAAACCTGTTGTACTACCAATTTTTAAAGAGAGATGTGGGGGGTATTTGGAGAAATACAGGCTAGTTACTCCTGTTCTGGATAGACTAGTTGAAAGGCAGAATCAATATATACACAGAAGGACAAGCTCTGCTGAAAAAGAATCAAACTGGCTTCTTCAAAGATAAGTCCTGTCTCAGTAACCTATTAAAGTTCATTGAGAGAGTCAGTAAACAAGAGGACGGGGTGATGTAGTAGCCATTTTTTACTTTTGGATTTCCAAAAGGCTTTTACTTACTTACTTACTTACTTACTTACTTACTTACTTACTTACTTACTTATTTATTTTATTTAGAACATTTTTATGCTGCCCCATTCGCAAAAAGCCTCGGGGCGGCTTTTTTGCCAATATCCTTCACCAAAGGCTCCAGAGCAAACTCTGTATTCATGGAATAAGTGTGGGGGTGGGAGAAGAGAAAGTGCTCTTTATCTGCTCTGTTCTTTAACCAGTTAATGAACCAGAGAGTGTGGAAATAAATGGCAATTCCTTCCAATTAAGGAATGGAAACAGTGAAGTCTCACAGGATTCTGTACTGAGACAATGCTGTTCAACTTATCCATAAATATTCACAAATTGTATCATTATTGGTCTTTTGTGGTTGTGAATATTGTATTTTTTATTGTTCTATCTTGCTTGGATTTTAACATGGTGTAAGCCACCCACAGAGCCTTGCCTAGTGGCGTGGCATATAACTTGAATAACAAATAAATAAATGAGATAAAATGAAATGAAATGCGGAGTAAACAGTAAAGTGCCCTAGTATTTAGGGTTGCTAAAGTCAAAGGGACTATGAGGATCCAAAGCTTTCTTTAAAGCTAAGAGAATGAGTATCAAAATAGCATTTGTGGTTCCGTGTAAGCAAGTAAGTATAAAGTAATTCATGTGTGCATGCGTATGTGTGTGGGGGGGATCCCAAATTCAAGAACAGGTTGATGCAATCTTAGCTAACAGTGACTGATTAAGAAAGGGATTTTGGGGTGTTGGCAGAAAGATTAATGAAAATGTGGACCCAGTGTACAGTTGTTGTGGGAAAGACAAACTCCAGGTAAGAAATAATTAGGAATGGAATTGAAAATAAAACTACCAAGATAGTATTCCTTTTATACAAATCTTTGGTGTGACCCTGTATAGAATATTGTGTACAGTTCTGGTCATTGCACCTGAAAGAAAGATATTACAAGCAGTTCCTGGGTTACAAATGAGTTCCAATCCTGAGAAAACGTAAATTTGTCTTTAAGTCAACTTTGTATGTAAATCAGATCACATATAATTGGCCCTCCACATCTGTGGGCGTTAGGGGCACAGGACCCCTGTGAAAGTGGAAAAATATCTCTATTCCTCCCCTCAATAAAACCTCCAAAATCTCACCAGTGCTTCCTCTTTGCAGCAAGGAAATACAGGAGAGATTTCCCTCTCCAGGTGGGCAGGGCAGGAAAGGCATGCTTTGGAAACCTCCCTCCCTGCTTTTGATTCCTCTCTCTCTATGGTGATGGTTTGGAGGCCCTCCCTCTGTCCCCTTCTGCTTCCCCTCCCTCTCTCTCCCTCTCTCTCTTTTTGGTGATGACATTTTATAGGTTGTTTGTAACCTGGACATTCGTAACTCTGGGCCTGTTCACATTAAGTTGGAGAAAGTGCAGAGAAGAACAACTAAAACAGAGGGTGGAGTACCTCCCCTATGAGGAATGGTTACAACAACTGGGATTCTTTAGCTTAGAAAAAAGGCCAGTAAGGGGAGACGTGATAGAAGTGTTTAAAACAATGCATGGTGTGGAGAGGGAGGCATTTTTCTCTCTCTTCCATAACACTCAAACCCAGAGTCATCCCATGAATTGATTGGTGGGAGGTTTAGGAACAATTAAAGAAAGGACTACTTCATACAGCATATAGTTAAACTATGGAATTTATTGCCATGGGAAGTGGGGATGATTAGCAAGCTGGATGGCTTCAAAAAGGGACTGAACAGATTCATGTGGGGCGGGGGGAGGCTATTAGTGGCTACTAGCACTGTTGGCTACATTCTATCTCCCATTATCAGAGGCAGCATGCTTACATACACTAGTTGCTGAGGAGTTTGGGCAGGAGGAAGTCTTGTACCCATCCTGGATGGTTAGTTTACCACTGAGTAAACAGATTCCTGGACCAGGTGGACCACTGGCTGGATACAGCATTGGTTATCTTAGATTCATAACTGATACATAGCACAGCCAAAAATAAACAAAAAATGAATTACTAAGAGTTCATTGTTTGAATAGAGTTATAGCCAAATATGAAGACTAAAACACAGGTTTGGGTTCTGATTTACATTTCAAATGTAAATATACTAGAAGGCATTCAAAGAGACTGAAAACTTGGAAAATTATGGCTATCCTATGCATGGTGAAAGGAGGTGGAGGTTGCCTTTGCACTAGTGAGATACAAAGCACTTAGACTGCAAATTTTGACTCTTAAAGTGTTTGGTTTCAAAGTGGATAGAAGGAATGTAAGATGCTGCCAGGATACTGCAGGCAGAGCTTGTCCCCTTTCTCCCCTGTTCCCCACCCTCCATCTTACCTGCCAAACTCTGCCCCTTACATTGTTCTTATGACTTTGGATCCATAGCCAGTGTGGTTCTTTCCACATCAACTGTGAGAGAAAACTTGCCTCAGATGAAGCAAGTTTCTGACGGCAGAGCTGAGCATCCAAAAAATCTTATTACTGTCTAAACTCTGCCTACAGATATCGAATCATGCTGTCACTGTGTATTTTCTTTTAAATAATCAGATCTTATTCAAGGGATGGGAATTCTGAGCTGCCTAGGAACACAACTATCAAGCAGATATTACATGACATAAATATATGAGAGCCAGTGTGGTGTAGTGGTTAAGAGCATGGGACTGGGACTCAGACGATCTGGGTTCTAGTCCCTGCTCAGCCATGGAGCCAACTGGGTGACTTTGGGCCAGTCACAGACTCTCAGCTCAACCTACCTCACAGGGTTGTTGTTGTGGGGATAAGATGGAGGAGGAGATGTAAGCTGCCTTGAGCAGGATATAAATTGAAAAATAGATAAAAATAAAAATACATACAATACAAACAACTGTTCAAAAAGAAGTCATAGACAAATGTGAATGTTCTTTAAAAGAAACTCTCTTCCACTTATTTATTTATTCCAGTGCAAAACCTCTCTACTTACTTTACAGCCATCATACTAGTTTCCATTGTGGAATCCATTCTTCCTTCCTCTGTTGTATCTGAAGTCAACTGGTCAGTTTCGGCTGTAAAATCAGCTGCACAAGCACCAGAAGATTCTGAAGGAGGAGGTAAATACGTTGTTGCAACAAAATTACTACTTCTCAGCTTATTAACTTCTTCTTCAAGTTTCTTCTTCTCTTCAAGTAAGCGAGCTCGGTCTTCAGAAAGGGTTTCAATCAGATCTGAACAAGAGGCAGGCAGTTACTAATAATTAATATTCCAAGACAGTGCAATACAACGCATAATTATTTGAATCCAAATTACAAATTGCTTAGAATTCACACTTACCTTTGTCCCTTTCTTGCTGCTGTTGTATCATTTTTAATTTGTCACTAAGATCATTTATTATGTTTTCTTTTTTCATTTTTTCTCTTGTTAGAACAGTGTTAAAGGTAGTCTAATAAGAGAGAATTAGCATTATTTTAGGTAATAAACCACACAGGAAAAGTCCATAAATACTATTTTCTTTCCATTTCCCAATAGGACACAATCCTATGCAAGCTGAGACATTAAAAAATCCCACAGTCCTCAATATCTCAAAACAGTTTTCCCCCCATCTAAACATACAAAGGATGCATCCTTAGAAGTATAAACCTGAAATGTATCTAATATCGCTCTGCCATATTACTGGTAACTTGTACCTTGTGAGAATCCATTGAACCTCTCCCTTAAACTTAAATCAGTAAGACAAATATGGTTCTTATGTCACATATCTTTCTATGTCTGGCAAATACCCAATTGCAGAAATCAGTCAGATGCTAATACTTGTCACATCAGAAAGGCTGGATGTGAACCTGTTTAATCTGCTAGACTTGCTTTGGGACCACCAGAATTTGAATTAACCTCCCCATCACCCCTGAGTTTGCCTACATATAGTTTTTGTTTTTAATCGACTATTCCTTTGTTTCCTTGCCTCTCTACCACATCCCACTAGCAATACATCCTCTAATAACATAATGGAGACTATATGGAAACTGTTTGAAAGGTGTACTGAAAGGAACAGGGATTGCTAATAGCAGAAAATTGAGGAATGATTACCTGCTGAACAAGATAGCAAAACAAAGATGCTCCTAGCTGCTTTAAACCACTCCTGAACAAGTGTATCTATAACCTGAAATCATGGAACAGCCAATTCTACCTGCTGTTCTGCAGTGAGTGATGTTCGGATGTTTTGCATTTCCTCATTTTTTCTTTTCTCATGTTCTTCAAGCTGTTCCAAAAACTTCACCTTTTCTTCCTGGAGTTTCTCTTGAAGTTCTGCAACCAAACTTGATGCAGATGATTCAACCAAACTTGAGAAAGGAGACATACGTAAAATCTAATCAAACAGACCAATTCAAACAAACCTAAAAAGGCAAACTCTCAAACCTCAATATCATATTACCCAGTGGATATATAGAGCAAGGAAAGTTAAGTTTCTGGCTAACATTTGCAGCCAATTGTAGCCTATTAATTCTACATCAAGAGGCATTTATGTTTGGGAAGTCCTGCATATGAAGTATGGGAGATGCTTTAAAAAAGGAGAAAATATAAGCTTTTACATATTTCGAAGTCAACACTGTAATATAGAGCCACCTGGCTAGACTGGCAAAAAAACCTTCCATTCTTTGCAATCTCACTCATGCTAACATTATCTTTCCTCAGCCCTTTTCAAAACATTCCATCCCATAACCCTAAAAAAATCATGAATGTCAAGTTGTGACAGCCAGCAGTGGAGGAAGAAAACAAGCAGGAAGGAGAAGGGAGATCCAAAAGTAGCAGGCAAGAAGCAGGAGGACTTACTTCAATGTAAAGTGAAGCAACTTGCAAAAAGGTAAGCTCCAAAATGGAGAATGAAATTGACTAGCACATTGATAAGACAGGGATATCAGTATACTGCGCTGGTATTGCCCTATTCCACAACAGCAAAATATCCCAGAAAAAACATCCTGGTGAATGAATTCTTAAATTCATAAGGAAAATAAATTGGAAAATTAATTCAATTTGGCAATCTGATATGGGAGTGGAGGGGAAGTTTCCCTTGGAAGGTAGCAATTACAAAGACTAACTGCAGAAAGGTCACTGATATAGGGATCAGGGCAAAAAGGTCTTCCAAAAAGGTACCTGGAATATGTGTTGGAGCTGCTGGAGGATGTGAGTAGGGGTTGGGAGGAGCAAGAAAACAATAAAAAGGTAAAACAGACAGAAGAAAAATATTTTAAAAAGATGGTAATATTAAAACTGTTGCTAGTCAGTAAGAAAGGCTTCACAGAACAAAGCTTTCAGCAGGCACTGAAAACAGCAGTGTTGGTGCCTGCCTTCAGAAGCAGGGAATTTCATAGAAATGAGGCCACCATACTGAAGACTACTCTCCTTGTGGCCTCTAGTCATCCCATGGGTTCAGGTGGACCAACCAGGAAAATGTCCAGCAATGCCCTCAGTGATTGGTAACCAGAGGGGCTTTCTCAGATACCTTGTTTTCAAGTTGTTCACACCTATGCATACTAGTACTAAAACATTAAACCTGGTTTGGTAGCAAATATGAAGCCATTGCCACTCCTCCTGCAATAGAGTTTCAGACTGAAAAAGTGCAGCTCCTAACAACAGCTGAGATACTGCATTCTGCACTAGATAAGGTTTGAACAGCAACAGTAGGGGGAGCCTCGCATAGGTAACAGCAATCCAGTCTTGATATTGCTAACACCTGTATCACTGTGGCCAAGTTATTGCTGTCCAGGAAGGACTAGAGCTGGTGAACCAACTGGAGATGATAAAAGACAGCCACCTCAGCCATTGGGACTTCAGCAATTGTGATATATCAGACAGAGTGCAACCACATCTAGAACTGACAATGAGCCTATCTCCTGGATTTGGGAACCACTCATCCACAGTGCAACCCATCTTACCAAGAATCATGTCTTGTTTACTGAGTCCAGACAGTGATCTGGGACTTGCAGAGTCTCTCCTGATTCAGTTGTCATAGGAAGATCAAGCTCTGTATAAATAGAATATTTATGGTACGAGGCTTCAAAGCCCCTAATCACCACGTTCAGTGGTTTCATATAGGTGTTGAACAACATTTGGATGTAAACCACAGCTCAGTTGTCAATGTTCTGAGGAATAATCACCCAACTTAATCTCTGAAACTGACCCTACACGAAAGATTAAAACCACTGTTAATGCATCGCCTTCAAAACTGAACCTGATCCTGAAGTAAACCATGGACAAAAATATCAAAAGCAGATGAGAGATTGAATAGAATTAGTAACTTACACTCCCCTGCCCGTCTCCCAATGTATTGGTGACAAGTTCTGTAAGCAGGTCAAAAACAAGACTGTAATGGGTGTAGATAATCAGCATTATGCAAGAGATTTATGGCAAAAAAAGCTATAGATGTTCTTTATCATAGTGTTGGTGTGAAACAGAGAGAGAACAAAGTCTCTCAGAACTCCTCACTTACTGAAAGGGCTCTTCGTATGTACTTGTTCATGTACTTAAAGAACAGGGTCTTTAAACTGTTCACCTGCACAGTTACCTTATCTGTTGATGGGATGGCTCCATAAGACTTAGCATTAGGGACAGAAACTCTAGAATTCAGCTGATGTCTTCATTTATTTATACACCACCTTCTGAGAGTCCTCAAAAGGGCCTCCCAAAACTATTTACAATCATGAATCACCTTAATATAGTGAAGTTATAAAACTAATAAAGCACATTAATTTAGTACACCATAAAAAGAAAAGCATTAACAAGCTATTTAAGAATCATCAAAAGCTTGATGCCATAAAAAAGTTTTTGCCATTTGCCTGACACCCATAAAAGCCCATCAAACTTTCCATGGAAGAATTCCACAATCATGGTGCTGCCACTGAAAAAGTATCAGCTCAACTGATAACAAGATCAAAGATAGCCCCTTTGGCAATCTAGGATTCTTCTGTAACATTTCAGATAAAAAAGAACCACAGACTGTACTATATGAGAAGTTATAAACCACCCCCCCCAAGAAAAAGAACTTCTTTTTGTAATCTATCTTTACAGAACTTTTCAGAAAACAGTTAAATTTCTCAACAAATCACATGTCGCAAAACTCCAAAAGACAATGGAGAATACATTCTATTGACAGCTGTACATTTAACTTAGGAACCTTTAGTTGAATCCTGCCACTCCACCCACCTAACATTCAGCCAGTTTACATGATTTGAACAAACCCAAATGGATTATTTAAGCCATGATGGGCTGCAGCACAAGCCTGCAGTCATTCTGAATATTGAGCACATGGCCATGTCTTATCATATTATGAAAGTCTGGGCAGTGGAGGCTATGCAACAGTTAAGCAACACTCACAAAACCCAAGAACAGACCATGTGTTAAACCACCTGTGCCACCTGGGTTCACATGACTTGATAAGCTGCAGACAGATATTAAATGTGCAAAAACTGCCCAGTACATACCACAGTGGGCTATTTTGAACATGTAAACAAGCTAACTCTCATACATTTTAGCTGATAAAAAATGTTCTTGTTGTCTGCTCTCCAAAACTGAAATATACAAAATCAGTATGATGAACCTATATACAAACCCTTTTTTCTATTTTGAAAGGAAACAACAAATATATATTCCTCCTTTTTACTTTCAATCAATTTTAAAGCAGATTAGCCATTGAAGAAAATGTTTGAACTAGAAATGGAAGAAGCCACTAAGGTGTTGCTAGCTTAACTGTTCAATGTAAAGCTAATCTCTAAGGGCATTAGGCTAAGATAGAGGATGATGGGAGGGAGGGGGCAATTGAAGCCTGTGAATTTTCCTTTGGGCTGGAACACATGCTTTCTATCGAAAAGAATCCAGGTTCTATCCTTAGTTCAGCTTTAACTAATATTTTACACTCCAGATGTTTTGGATTACAACTACTATCAGTTCTAGCATGTTTGGCCAAGGCTTGGGAAAAAGGGGAGCTTTAGTCTAAACCATCTAGCTAGCATCATGTTGGGAAAGGCTGACTTAGCCTCACCAGACAGAGCAGAGAAAGGTTCCTATCTTAAACCCTGCAGAGTTGCTGCCAACGAATGCACTCAGTACTGAGCCAAAAGGAACAATAATGTGTTTTGGCAAAGAGTAGCTTTAAATGTTCCTAGCCCAGAAACAACCCAATTTCCAGATGTCTAGAACTAGGTCTAGGTCAAAGCTTTTGTATTTCCTGGAGTTTTAGTGGCTTTACAACTGATGGCAATCTTTTCCTCAAAAGGCCAAGAGAATTTTAATGTGTCTTGCTCAAACAACACCTCTTAAAGGAATTTCAAAATCAGGTTGTGATATTGTGAGGGGAGATTATCAGAAGTCTCGGCAATTCTTCTACAAGCCTCTACAATATGGGATCCATCCTGTATTTGTATTCACTGCAAACAACTTTCCCAATTCAGGATCCTTGCAAGGAGAAATGAGTTACGTGCATACTTGTAAAAATGTTTTCACCCATCTTGTAACCCAGTATGATCAACCATGTGATTTTTTTCACTAGTCAGTGCTTTTGGGAAGGACAATCTCTGGATTCAGCTTCCCAATCCCAAAACAAGGTGATTGAGAATATTAAACCTGTTTGTTATTTGGTTAAATAGTTGCTTGTTTAAATTACAGTGTATTGTACATGAAGCTAACTTGAAAACTGTTTAATTGATCCAGCATAGAGCTAATTGAATAGAACAAACCAGGATCGGTTGATACAGTCAAGTGACAATAGAGCTTCACCAGCCGCACTGGATTCCACAATCTACACCCAGACACAATTTAAAGTATTAGTGGCCAACAGCTTAGGATCACTGCATTTGAAGCAACCTCTTCTCCCAGATAGCTTTGCCTGGAGCCTTAGGTCATATTCAGAGGCATTCCTCTGGGAGCCCCATGAAATTAGGAAAGTAGCTACAGAAAAAAAGGCCTTCTCAGATGTGGTGCCTTGTTTATGGAATGTTCTCCCCAAGGAGAACACCTAGTGCCCACATTTTTCTTTTTCACACCAGACAAGGATGCCCCCTTTCCCAGGAAATGTTGGATTCAAACTGGCCTGCAGAACGCAGGAATCACTGCCTTTACATATATTATATTCCCTTTGATGATGATTATTATTTTATCATGTTATCCATTCCACCCAGAACATTTTGCTATTGAATGAATGAATTATAAGAAACCTGATTAAATTGTTCATGTATATAATTTATCTAATGCAAATGCTAGCAGAAGAGTTCTTGAAGTTGTAACTGTACTGGTTCAGCAAGTATGTAGGACTACATACAATCATTTTCTCTCTTTTTAAAATATCCATTTATTGCTGCATATTAGTAAAGGGATCTCTGTTTCATGAGGAGTTCCCATCAGGCATTTATTGTCTATTTTCATTATTTCTATAGTGCCAATAAAAAAGTTATCTGGGAATTCACAAAGTATGTCAGCTACAACTGCAGGAGAAATGAATTCCTCACCACCTACATGCGCACACACAAACCACACACCCATGCATACACTGCCCAAGTATTCAAATAATGAGTGTCATTAAATGTTTAATATATATAAATTCACTATCATTTCATGACAGGACGGCATATAAATATTTTAAATAAATAAATAAACTATTATATGAGAGTGGATAGTTTCAAAGAATAATGCTAAAAGAGGGCTAGTAAGAATATAGTAGAATGTTTACTCTTACTCCTCAACTAAAACAGTGAATTAATTGTAGTATATCTGCAAATATTTTCTATACCATGAACAGAGAGCTCTACATTGTTCCATATTAATGCAAAACTAACCAAGAAAGACACATAGCATATCATTTGGAGAAAAGGACAGAAACAATCCTGACCCTTTTAGCATGAAGAAATTAGTGACTTAAGCTAGTTCAGAATTATAGAACCAAATACATGTCAGATTGTTGGAATATTACTTTTTCTGAATCTCCCTCTTCGATGCACCCCATGGTGAGCGGGTTTGAGAGTATCAGACAACTTGAAAGCAATGGCACTAGAGACTGTTTCAATAGCTGATCCCTTAACACGGACATACAAGGTGGAATGGTAAAAACAGACCACATACGACTGCTTATATCCAATACTGTCTATTCTGCTGACAGATGTTCACCGACAGAGTAAGGAGAGGGCAATTTTCAACAATTCCCTATCCCTCAAGCGCCCAAACGTTTATTTGAAAGGGTTAGGGGAACCTGCAAAGCAAATTTGGATAGTGTGTCATAGGATGCAAGGGAGAAGAGAAATTATCCAAAATTGCTCTCCCTGCTGCCTCAATTCCTATAATCTTGCCAAATATATTCCATCAGCAGAGCAATCAAGTATTACGGTTGGCAGGAATTATTCAGCATGTGAGAAATCTTATAACTAAAGCTTTCAGGATGCTATACAAAATAAAAATATAATGAAACAATGTGTCATGCATGAAGCTCCAACAGAAACAGTGACTCATGAGGAGACCTTGCACTTGGCACCCAGTGCCCAAGAGTCGACCCCACAACCCAATGCAAGGATGGCTGAGCCAGCTACTGCGTCTTCCTCTGAGCCCCAGCACGTTGAGCAAACACCTGGACCTTTACCAGAGACAGAGAGTCATGAGAAAGAGGAAGCTGCAAGTTCTACTCAGAAGGAGGCAGAGCAAACTGCCTCTCCCCCCCCCCATGCTGATCTCCCTGAGCCAGAAACAGAAGACACAATAGGTGTCCTGGATTTTTCAAGAGCCCAGAACAGACATATTTTACACCGATTTGAACAGCTACAAAGTAGACAGCATGAGAGGGAAGAAAGGCGTGACTTGGGAGAATGATCCCACGTGGGCTCAGGAAGAGAAGCCATTATAGGACTGACATATGCTTAGCAAGGACCGCTATTAGGGAACTTATCTATAGAACTGTAAATCTTGTAGACAATTAGCATTAAAGGACTTTAGTTTTATTGCTCTAGAATGTGTGGAATGTTTACATACTGGGCTGCCCCTCACAACAGAATGATAAAGCTTAATAATAAAAGTTGAATAAGAAACAGAATTCAAAAGAACTTGTAACAATAATGCAAATCCTAAATAGTCATCCACTGAATCTCAGTGGAGCATATAAGCCACAGGCTCTCTGTGACATTCCTGTAATAAGGAACCATACTTTCCTATTACAGATGAACCAAACCCATGTGGACTGCTCAAATTCCCATCAATGAGAAAAAAAAAATCCAAATCTGTTCCAGAGATAGTTCTTTAGGTTTTCTCACAGAAATCTAGGGTTGGTATGATTATTTTCTTGTTAATCATAAAAGGTATAAAGGTTTTAGAACTGTGTTGCAACTCTCCTAATTTCCATGCAGGATGATGTTCCCAAGCTGGATATTCAATGCCATAGAGATCCCTTCTTTCTAAGAGTTGTCATTTCCTTTGTATCTTACATATACGATACTCAGGATTCTCACATCCTTGGACATTTGTATTTTCAGGACAATTTCTTCTGTAATGCTTGTCTCCCACCTGATACACTACGAAGTTAATTTTTAAAATTTATCCATGCTGTTTTTCCTTTAAAATTGAATTTAATAAATCAGAAAGGCAGTTTATTAAATACACTATATGCAGTGCTCTTTGTGCACAGCTGAAAACCTTAAGTAACAATTTCTGCTGCCAATTATTGATCTTAAAGATTAGAAACACTCTATTCCAAAATGTTTTAAGTCATACTCTCCAAAGGCAAGTAGGCTGCTGTGTCATATGGATGGTATACCATCCTATCACTTTCATCTTGCACTGCCTGCCTGCTCCCATAGTGATGTGAGCTATGAGTTATCATCTATAAGCATTATGATTTGAATCTAAATATTCTCTTTTTTTATGGTGTGGGAAACCTCCAGCCCTTTCCAATGTTGCAGAGTAGAGATATACTCTTTCCTTTTCCCAGGACCTGCATTTGGCAGGGGAAATGCCCCCTTCCCAGCTGATCACCAGATAGTGCTGGAAAGGCTCCGTGCATATGTGCATGCATGTGGGAGTGGGGGTGACAGTCAGTGGCCCCACCCACTTTGGCCAGTGACCCTACCAACTACAGGCCTCTGCCTTGAGCACTAGGTCAAAAATAGTTCTCCCCTGCTATTGCATTAGAAGACTCTTTTTGTAAGAGAAAGAGAATCTTTGGAACCATACCTATAGAATGAAAACTGTTCAGATCTGACTGTTTTAGAACTGTGCACTTAGAAACCTCTACACCACATAAACAATTTCTAACTAGTCTATTCCTTTAACCAAATTACATGGTTCAGTCAGTCATAAGTGACTAAACAGAAAGTGTGTGCTAAAAATGAATGTTGCCCCATTTAAAAAATTGCCCTTTCCAATGAAGCAACATACTGTCCTCAAAGGTATGCAACACAGTAGTACACATCAACTCAACCACTTACATTTCTGAAGTCATACTTTTAATTAAAATCAAATCATCACTAGGCTAAATACTGAAAAGCAACACATATCTCAAATCATCACTAGGCTAAACACTGAAAGGCAACACATATCTCAGATGTCAAAACTAAAACCTATTGGATATTTACAGAATAAACAACCAAAGAACTATAAACTATGAAAACAAGCAATAGTAGTATAACTTAGTAACTAATTAAATGGTTTTGAAGCTGAATTATTTAAAGTACTTAAATGCAGGGCAGTATGAAGAAGAGAAAGGCAAACCTAAATGAGAATAGATGGTGCAATGATTACTGTTTGTATTAAAAGGGAAAAAAACCCAGTAAGTTATTAAAAAAACCCACAAAATGTGCCACACCCTGCAAAAGCGGCCTGGAAGTTACAAACTTCAAATTACAATAGATCAAAGCTAGATATCGCTGGTAAGGAACAACAGACCCCAACTTTATGAACAATGCTATTCCCATTTTCTTAGTTTCTGTACAGTAGATTCAGATGTGCTAAATTAAGGGGATCCATTCTATACAAAGGGGGAAGATCATTTATTTACCCCCATTTTATTTTGCCAACTTTGCATTAGGTTTCTATTTTTGTTTTTTGTTTTTGTTTTTTTTAATGGAGATCATTTCCCACGTTAAAGGGAAGATAATTTTCAAGGTCATTCAACCACATAAGAACTTTTTAACATGGGATACAATTTCCATAAAGAGATACTACACAATTTCAATGTGGAGACACAAGTTACTTTAAGAAGATTACCACTAGAAAATAGAGGCACTAGAAACCCAATGCAAAAATGTGACTTCTCCTAAAGCAGGTTTGCATACAGCCTTTATTTCAGGAGTCCAAACAATTGGATCACTGAATACCCCCTCATTATAAGCTGATGATGGAATGAAAGACTGGTTGTGGGGCGGCGGTGGGGAGGGGGCAAGTTAAAGATATCTGAGGAGAAAGAAGATGTAGAATCTGGGGTTGGAGAACTCTCCCCTTACTCCACTGACTGCAACATATATTCAGGATAATTTATTTTATTTCAAACATTACAGGTCAACTTAATTCATACAGTACCTCCGATTAACTTGCATCTCAAGCTGCTGGATTTTTTCCAAAAGTTCTTTTTCAACAACTTCCCTTTGCAACTCAAATGCTTTAAGGGCATTTTTTACTGCAGCTTCTTTTTCACAGCTGAGCTTCTGCACAAGCATTTTCCTGTCCTGCTCATGGTTAGTTACTAGCTGTTCCTTTTCCTCTTGAAGTTTATTGATAACAACTTCATATTTCTTCTGTTGTTCACACAGAGATAAGTTTTCCTCCTTTTGCTTCTCTAGGGCACTCACTTCCAATTCTACTTTACCTTGTAATTCTGTTATTCGTTCTTCCAATCTGTTTTCTGCTTCAAGTGCTTTTTGATGCAAACAGGTTACTTTGCTCAATTCACTTCTAAGCAAATTTGTTTCTTCCTCGTGCCTGTCAATCAGTTCTGAAATACACTGATCTTTTTCAATTGTCATTAAAGTTCTCAGTCCTGCTAGACCTACCTGATAGTCATCATTATTAACTTGAATTATATGATTCAATTTATCAATCTCTTTTTTTAAAATTTCAGTTTCTTTGTCAACAAGGGATTTTAAATTATCCTGCTGTTGAGTTTTGCTTTCTTCTAACAGAAGTTTCATTTCATCTGTTTCTGCTTCTTTTAGTGCAAGTTCAACTTCCAATTTGCATCTTAAGTCAGACAGTTCAGAAACCGTAAGTTTTAATTCCTCAATCTGTTGTTCTTTTTCATGAACATCTGCAGCATGAGATTCCTGTATCTGTTCAAGTTGATATTGATTTTCTCTTTTTAATGTCTCCAAACAATCATGGTGCTTGGCCATCAGTTCTTCAAATGCTTGTGTATGTCTGACATGCAGATTGCATTCTAATTCTTTTAGATGATCTTGCTCCAAAGTTTGAAGTTCTGACTTCAGAAGCTGCATTTTTTCATCATTTTCAATATGAAGCTTTTTCAAACTTTCCAATACCCTTTCACGTGCTTCCCTTAGTTCCTTAATTTCACTACTCTTATTCTTCATTTGGCATTCCAGTTCAAGGAGCTTCTGATCTTTTTCATTTTGTAAGAACATAACTGCCTCCTTTTCATTCTTTACTATTGCAAATTCATTATTTTTATCATGCAGAAGATCTTCAAGACATTTTAAGTCATGTTTTAATTTTATAATCTTTCTTTTGTTCACTTCATCATCTTCAACTAAGGAATTCATTTTAGTTTCATATTCCGTTTTTATAGACTGCAGTTCTTTTTGATGCTTATCTTTTAGTGTTTTTTCAAGTGAAAATTTGACTTTTTCTATAATATTTCTTATTTCTATTGAAGTATATTTTAAAGAACTGGAAAAGTCACATTGTTCTTTTTCTACAAATGTTCTAAAATGGAAAAGGTCTTCTTTGATGTTTATTAAATTTAATCGAGATTCTTGAGCAACATCTCTACATTTTTCTAGACAAACATTTATAGCAGAATTTTCCTCTTTTGCAGATTTATTTGTGTCTTGCATCCTCCTGCTGTCTATTGCATTGATAACTGAGGAATAGAGGGATTCCACCATCATCTCTGGGCTTTGTGGATCACTTATCACATTTGGAGAGGCTGGATTTTCTTCTATTATAAACTCATTCACAGCTGACATAAAATCAGATTCTGGACTTTCTGCCAGTGAGTCCAGGTCTAAGGACCCTTGCTTAAGGGACTGCTCTATGCTTGGATGGCCAATAGTTTCAAAATCAAATGTATGGGCATCAATACTGTCTGGAGACAATTCTTCTAAAGGGCCTGGGGCACACTCAGGTGGGCACAGAGGACCCTGAAGACTAAGTGGAGGAGGAGTTTTAGGAGAGGTAGCAATTGTTATTCCTGCTGTACTTTCCATCCTTGGTGTAGTGACAGATTGGGGTGAGGCTTGACTATTGGAAGCCTAAAAGAATAAGATAAAAGTCAGAGTTAAAATGTTGTAATTTCTTAACAATTCCCACCATAGGCCCAAAACCAAATACAATGAGCTTCATATATGTATTGAGAAAAGCACTCCTTCCAAAGCCTCGTATCAGCTTAAAATAAAGGTAAAGGTTTCCCCATGACATTAAAGTCCAGTCATGTCTGACTCTTGGGGGCAGTGCTTATCTCTGTTTCCTAGCCAAGAGAGCCAGCGTTTGTCCGCAGACAGTCTCTGTGGTCATGTGGCCAGCATGACTAAACATCTAAATGCACAGAATGCTGTTACCTTCTTACCAAAGTGGTACCTTTTTATCTACTTGCATTTGTATGCTTTCAAACTGCAAGGTTGGCAGGAGCTGGGACAGAGCAATTGGAACTCACTCCATTGTGCAGATTCAAACTGATGACCTTTCGCTCAACCAGCACAGCTGAACAGCAGTTTAAACCACTGCGCCACCTGCATCCCTACAGGCAGCTATTAAATAGCAGCACCAACTGTTAGAAATACCTGAATGCATGCCAACCAATCCTCACTTGAAGTAAGGATGCATGTAACCCTTTACAAGGCAGTCACATTAGTAAGCCAACAACTAGAAAATTATATCCCAAATTGACTGGAATTAGTGTATCTATACATTTCTCTGAATTAGCATGTATCGGTACCTGTGTATTTCCAGAAGTACAATTTTATTTAATAAATGGAGTCTTATAGCACAAAGATCATATTTAGTCATGATCGAGCCATGTTATATTTTTCCTTTCATTTCTACTAAGCCATATATAACCTTAAATTAAAAGAGCAAAATAAAAATATGAAAAATATTTGTTGATTCAGGCTTTACACCATGACTGCAAGCAAAAGAGGGCTGAAAAGCTGAGTGTTTATCTTTAAAGATAGCACAGGAAAGAAATCTACTTTCATATAATATTTCCTTCTTATTTGTAACTACTTAAAACACACATAGCAAAAGGCAGATTAAAGCCAAATGCTTAAAGAGGTACTATGGATATCTATAATCAATATATCACAGAACATGATGCTAGTAAAGGTCAGAGTAAATATAACAGCTTATATATTTTTGAATCAGCCTTCCCAAGTGATACCTATAATAAGTATCCAATTGTTGGGGCAGGGAGGGGGTTTCGTTCTGAGAAGCAATGATGAACATGAGAAGTCCTACAAAACTGTAATAAATCAGAATCCTAAGGCAATATATTTTCACTTGGATTTAAGTCTTTCCATATGTTATATCTCCTAAACATGCTTTAAAAATAGTCAAAGGACCCCTGATGAGGTAACAAGCATGGGGATTCACAACAGATGCTTTTAGAAATACAATACCTGGCATTTAATATGTTTAATATTGGTAACACTGAGGATGAAGTCAGAATATGCTAAATATGACTTCAAATAATGTTGTGATGAAGAGGTCTTAAGGGTGGGCTACTTGTATACTAACTGGTGGCAGGTGAGGACTTTATACATGAAGGCCTTTGTTCAGTATGTAAGTCTATAACTTGGGTACTCTTTCTATTCTGTTACTTTTGTTCTTACTGCATTTTAATGTTCTTTCTTATTTAAATCATTTTAAATTGTTTTTGAAGTGAATGTTTTTGTTAGAAAAGGAAAACATAAATCAAATAAATAAAACACAACATCACCAGTGTACATTCACTTCTTGCTTCCACATGCAAATTTTGGATCCAAGAATTATGAATAATGCTTTACAGGCAATTTAAAGCCTTTAGGAAGTACTCATTATTTGTAGTAGAAATGAAATGAAAAAAAAATAAAATAAATCATGAATTCAGCATGGTATTTCCTCTGGGGAAGATACATTTTAGTAGCTTCACCACATTTTAAGTTCACTGCTTAATAATAAATGCAATAGATGCTGCTCACAGGATTGTGACCTAAGTACACATCAAATAAAAAGTTCTACTGATAAATGAGGGGGAATAAAAGAAGAAAGATTAAGTTCAGGAATCCAAAATATGTTTCTTTAAAATAGTCTACACTGATTTTACTTCACAACAAATAATTGCTTATACTGGACATGTTATGTTTTACCTTGCTATATTAGCCACATGCATGCTAAGGGATACCTTTTGTTCATTCAGCAGATCTGTAATGGTCTGTGACATTTCATCCAAACTTTGTGCTGCTTTGACCAGATTATGTAGAGCAAGTACATGCTGGTGGAGAGGTTCAAAATCACAAAGTATGGGGACCCTTAAAAATACAAATTCTTAATGGATTACATGTATTAGGGAGACATTACATTGTAGATTACATTTAACAACACTTATTTGCTAAACTTGTGTTTACATTAACAGCACTTTTGAGAATTTCAGGTTCCAAGTTGGTCCCTTGCACTCAATCAGATATCATTCATACATTTCCCTGGCTTTCAGAAGCAACTAAATCAGGATGTGAAACTGGTTGTGTGCAGAGAGGTAAGGCTATGTTTCTAATATCTTCTGTCTCAAAATAAGATGGTCAAAGCAAGCTGATTGACAGCGGGGGATACAACATCAGAAACAGATATGGAGCCAAAGTGGCATGATGGGAAAGGCTTCATTGTTCAGATAAAGCCATCCCAGCACTAATATGCAAGACAACACTTCCTGTCGGTTGATGCAGAGTAATTCCACTCCACAGAAAAAAAGACTCAAAGACTGTAGAGTTGAAAGCAGACTTGGTGTGTGCAACGAGGTGCATGGACGCAAACTCCTGCCCATTCCTCTACAAAACAACACCTCCATCCCCTTGAAAATGCTACAAAGAGCATCAGGACCCTGCTGAATGGAGTGCGGGGGGTGATGCGGGGAGAGAATGTGGCATCCCTGAAAATCCAAGCACAGGTGCTTTCCATGAACAGAGTGCTTTTGTCAAATAATAAATTATGTGAACAGATCATTCAATTGTGGATCCAATATAAGCAATTTAAAAGTTAACAGAGGATGACTGTTGAAAATTAGAACAAGGATGGCTGAATCAAACCATCTTGCACCTCTGACCTACCATTCCACAATTTACAAGCTTTTGTTAACCTATTTGGAGTCTTAAACCTTGGCTGTTCTACTCCAAGTCACTTAGAGATCTTCCAATAGATCCTAATCTACAGTCTGCCCACCTCAAGGGAATTAATTTTGCTAAGGAATTAATTTTACCTGAGTAACTAAAGAATTTTACCTGAGTAATGGCTGTACTTCTGAAGGACAAAATGACTGAAGAAATTGCAGATCAGATAATGAGATATCAGGAAGTTCACCATCAAATCTGCGAGGTTTTCGGGTCTGTATATAAAGCAATATGTATACATGAATATAATGAACAGGTAAGTGAAACAGCATTTAAAGACTGGAAGTACATGATACTAAAGGGACAGTCAGTGTAATATTACTTATATAGCTTAACAGATTATTTTAAAAAGATATTTTAAAATACAGTATGTTCATTCCATTTTTAAAAATGCATTTTCATCTTTATTATGTTTCCATTCTCAGAACCCATCATCTGTGGGAAAGAAACTGTATGATGTAAGAAACTTTAGATAAAAACTGAACAATGATGATTAATATACTAACTCTATTAAAGATTTGACTATAATTTTATATCATACTGTTTAAACTATTATTTAAAAAGTCTGAGAAGAAACACTGAAACACCACATTAGCAATATTTTCAACCAAAAGTCCATAAAGTAATGGACACCAAACTAGTTGCTACCAACACTGATGCAATTAAGATGAAATCAAGCCAAGCTACAGGCAAAATATTTTAACGCTGAATATGATCCACTTAAGTGTAAAAAGAAAACCATCCGAACCCTGAATATGCTGATGGGAATTGAACTGCTGTGGTTATCTAGGCAAGAAATCTTTGGGTCATGGTGGATAGCATAATAAAAAGTATACTGTGCAGCAGGAAATCCCATGAATTCCCCAGAGAGGTCCGCCTGGCGCCGTCATTTGTTTTTTGGTGCCAGGTTAAGACCTTTTTATTCCAGCAATATTTTAATAAGTTTTAATATTGTCTTTTCTATGTTTTTAATTGCGGTCAGGGTGGGTTGGGAATTTTATTTGTCATTTATGTTATATTTTACATTGTAAGCCACCCTGAGGCTTTTTTGTGAATAGGACAGCATATAAATATTTTAAATAATAAATAAATGAATGTTAAGGCTGAAATATAAAACAGCAATTATCATAATTCATTTTAGATCATTTGTAGAGTAACCATGCTAGGAACGCTGTGAACAGTTCTTGCTATCCCCTCTCAACAGGGTATTGGAGAGCTGAGGAATTTGCAGAAAGGGGAAAATGAAATGGTCCAAGGTTTGGAACAAATTCCTTAAGAAAAGAGACTAATACATCTTGGGCATTTTTATTTACAGGGAAACAAATTAGCCTAGAAGAAAAATCCTGGACATATTTACTCAGAAGTGAGTTCAGTGTGCTGGAATATGGCTACAGAATTGTGGCACACAATTATGGGATGGAGAGTTTATGATATTGTTTTATAAAAATGACAGAGGCATGTTCCTGCAATGATTGCAGCTGACTTGAAGGCAAAATAATATTATATTGCATTTACAACAATTTATTGGATAAATAATGGATATGGTGATTGTATGCATATTCTTTGGCTCTTCCCAGTTACACACAAGTTTTGGACAGACATATCCAAACTGCTTTTGGATATGGAAGAATATTCATTTCTGAACCTAAAAAGAATATGCTGTGTTGTTTGAAAAAGCTGCTGCTATAACAGTAATAAATTTACTGTTTATTACAGGATCTAGTAATAAATTTATTAACTGCTACAGAATAGGTGTTAAAGAATCCTGGGAAAAGTCACAGCACTCATATCATCAGAATGGTTTAAAACAGAAATGGGAAATTTGTGGCCCTCCAGATGTTTTGGGCAATAAGCTGCCCACTTGGTTTAAAATAATCTGGAAAATCATTTGAATAACTGTGGATATATTTTTTCATGCTTCTTTCAGAAAATAAAATGATAAATTTGTTAAGAAGTGTATTTTTATTTAAGTTCTGAAACAGTACTTTCCAAGATAAAATTCATAGTTATGTTACCAGCGTATTGCTTTCTTAATTGTCTGCTCCACTCGGACCACCTTTTTTTTTTTTTAGTTTTCACATAAAAGCCTAGAAAATGATTAGCATGGGGATAATAAAGAACATTTTTGTCCAGCTACCACACTATTAGAACCCAATTATATTGATTTACAGTAGCTCCAGGACAGTTAAGAGAAACACTTCTTCACATAATGCATACGCCTTAAATTGAAAAAAAAAAAGTTAACAGTTTTAGATGACTTTAATAAGCAAAACAAACAAAAAAGTCATGGAAGATATGTCCATAAAGTAAAATGAAATCTTCATATGGTGGCAGTATCCCTCCAAATACTATTTCCTAAAGGAACAATCCTATGGCTCCCCACCCTGTAGGGAAAGGGGAACAAAGAATTATCCAGAACCTCAAGACCCATCAAGAGCAGACTCAAAACAAATTTCAGGCTTCAGTTGATCTTTGTGCTTGGAGAAGGGTGGGATACTTCTCCCTCTCTTCTTTAGCTCCAGGTTCAGAGGAAGCCTAGGGCTCATTTTACTTGCCAAAGCCTGGATCCTCTTTAATGATACAGATCTATTTTATTAAATCCTGCTTGCCCAAAAATATTTTTGCTTGGCTAGATATTTCTAAGAGAAGGAGAACTAAGTTGTGTAAGACTTCAAGATGATTTTCATTTGCCATAACCAAGCATGTGACAATCTGGAAGTATGAATTTTCTATCTATATAGTTGATTGAAAATAAGTGCAGAGAAAGAAACAGTGGATAAACCAAACTATTGAAATATTGTTGTGTGTGATTACCACTTGCCCCAAAAGACAGAGCAATAATATATTATGTATTCTTCAGATATCTTGATTAATAAATGATGAACATGAAATACTCACACAAAAGGATGGAGGCCAGGCATCAAGTCCTCTGAACAAACGATTTCTTAGAAAAGATTTCCCTGTGCAATGAAATGTGCATTATTTCTATTATTGATATATGTGAGATACTCTGATAATAGGAAAATGCAATGCACTGGCCATTCATGGGTAGAATTAGTATTCATTTCACATTTCATTTGTCAGTTGACTAGATTCTCAAGGAAGAAAAAGAGGAAGAGCGCCAGTTGCAGAAAGAGGCCAACACATTTCACACTGAAGAGAACTATGAATATAAATAATGTAAAAGCTATATTGCAATCAGTTTCTTTAGATGCCATCCAATGAGGCTGCTCATACCCCTCCAAACTCAAAGGGTTACAGATATGCAATGAAAGATGGAATAGCATGGAAGCTAGGATGGCCACTGCACTCTCCTTGTTCTCCAAAGCTTTCAGATTTCCATTTTGGCCATATGAATGCTTTTTCCTCTTGTACAGAAAAAAAGGTTGAAGCCCTGCCAGGATTCTTTGAAGTATGGCAGTGTGTCACTCCTCCATTCTTCAATCCATTCTTCAATCCATTCCTCCCCAGACCACTCTGTTGCAACAGCTCCAAAGAAAGTATTGCATTTTCAAAGCCAAAACCCCATTTTCAATGGGGTTGCACTACCTCTTAAGGACAAGGTCCGCAGCTTGGGAGTGCTCCTCGATCCAGAGCTTTTGCTGGAAGCTCAAGTAACAGTGGTGGCGAGGAGCGCTTTCTTTCAGCTTCGGCTGATTCACCAGCTGCGTCCCTACCTAGAGAACGACTGCCTGGTGACAGTGACACACACATTGGTAACTTCCCAACTAGACTTCTGTAACACGCTCTACATGGGGCTGCCCTTGAAGATGGTCCGGATACTTCAATTGGTGCACAACAGAGCTGCCAGGTTGCTGACGGGGACTGGGTGTTGTGCTCACATAACTCCAGTCCTCCGTCAGCTTCACTGGCTCCCCATTGAAGTCTGGGCCCAATTCAAGGTGTTGGTTATCACCTATAAAGCCCTTAACAGCTTGGGTCCTGGTTACCTAAAGGAGTGCTTACGTCCAGACGTACCCTCCCGCCCCTTGAGATTGGCAGCAGAGGCCCTTCTCCAGGAGCCCTCCGTGAAGGACATTAGGAGGGTGAGCACCCAGAGGAGGGCTTTCTCTGCGGTGGCGCCCAACCTATGGAATACACTCCCCAGAGAGGTCCGCCTGGTGCTGTCGTTATTTGCTTTTCAGAGCCAGGCCAAGATCTAATTATTTAAACATCATTTTAATTGTTAATTTTATTTATTGATTTTAACAACTTCGGCCAGGATGTCTCCAACTGTATTTTATTGTATTGATATTTATTTATTTGTAAGCCGCCCCGAGGCTTAGGTGAATGGGGCGGCATATAAGTCTGCTAAATAAATAATAAATAAATAAATAAAACAAGCCCCAAAAGAAGTGCTATTTGCAATGACAGAAGGAGGGTCTTTTCAGCCCAGCTCCAACCTCAACAGTATTTTCCCCAGGTCAGAGCTGAGGCTTTGACCTATCCTATAATACTGCTGACAATGTCAGGAGGCCACAGGATTGTGCCCTTTACTATTAAAATGTGCAAACACAGTTTGTATACCATTGTATATAGTTAATATCCATCATGTCCTCAAAAAGAATGTTTTAAATGCATCAGGCTCATAGTTTTTCTTATGCAACTTGACAGCTCCTTATTTCCTTTTCCAACAACTTTTCAAGAAAATATTTAATGCACTTAAAACAAAGCAATAAAAAAGTACAAAAATGACCAAATAGAACTTTCACCCAAGGGCCTGCTTACGTGGCCATTAGACTGGGATATACACATGGCTGCAATTTTGAATATGCAACCACTGCACTTCATTTTTACTAACCTGATGAGAATGGATTATAGATGAGGGTTAAACAAAACCTTCTACAATCTATGGTCTCTTTTAAGGTTATTCAAGTGTTGTTTTACCCTGGCATAACCCACACTCACTGAGTTCACACAACAGAACTATCCCTGACTGTGGTCATACAGTCAGTATGGCACCCCAAGGGCTCTACAGCTCATCCAAACTCAGTAACTGTAAGCTAACCATGAGCACTGCTACACAAGATCAAGAGTGTGGTACAAGAAAAATTTCCTAAACCAAATACAAAAGTAGATGTAACTGGGAGCCTATTAGTAACTGGGAGTCTAGTAATCTATTTGTATTCATTAGATTACCCTGTCTGAATAGAAAGTGGTCTAATGGAACAGGAACAACTTTTTAAAATAGTGACTCATAGACAAATATGCCACATACTTCTGCTTTTTCCTGCTTTTTCACTCCAAGCACTTTTCTCCCAGCCTAATTATTATAAATGAAGTAAGGCAAACTGAAAGAAAAGTGCACAGGGAAATGGAATACAGAGAGATACAGGAGGAAAATAATATCAGTACATATTTCTACAAGCCTTTTTCAAGAACATGATTATACACAATTGAGGGCTGATATATGAACAAATGTGGTTGATACTGCCACATCCCACTTGTTTGAGTAATAAGTCACTGCAATGGTCTTACACGAGGAAACAGTTTCCACATACTACAAATGTAAAGCAGCCTCTATGTAGTGTACATATATGAACTAGTCTTCTTTCATGGACAGAAGTGTTCTTTGTGCCAATATTATAAAGTATTTTTTCTGCTGCTGAAGCTTGCCCCTGTCCCTCAAATACTTACTAAATAATTTTCCAAAAGATTCCCTTTTGGCTTTCTCTGCATCATAAAGATGTTTCCCATCTTTTATTAAAGCACCAGCCCACTGTAAGAAAAAAAAATACTAAATATACAGATAAAGGTACATATACACAAAAGTCATGATAGTTCCTCAAGTTATACAAAAGTTTGAAGTCTAAATCATCTATTCAAGTTACTTACTTCTCTGTAGTGTTTTACAAACATTTTTCTCCTTACAACTTCAACAACAGCCAAACAGTACATCTGAGGGACATTACTAAGTTTCTCTACAATCTTCACTCTTTCTAGCAGCTCTGTTACAAGACGAAGCAAAGCTTGTAACTTCTCTCCATCCTGATCAGCATGAAGCATTACAAAGCAGCACCACCTATGGAGAATAAAATATAACAGGAGCTTCTTAACTATTAAGAAAGGAAAAAAAAAAATAATCCACTGTGCAACCTGAACTTTGTTTTCAGCTTAATATTAGTAAGCTTATCTATAAAAAAGCAGTCAGCCATTAGCAGTACAACACAAATAGAAATGTAAATTTTATTGTGCTAGTGCAGAATTGGCTAACAGCTCCCATCAGGCCTCGATCTGGAAATATCTGGGCAAGCTACAAGTTGCCCTATCCTGAGCTAATGCAAGGAACCACTAGCACAATACCAGCAACATATGCTGAGTTAACATTATTAATTTCAGAATGGTGTGTTGTTTTATATTATGAGCCATGGAGAGAGCCCAGATATGGGCTACTGTAGCAGCATATACATACATTAAATAATGAAATTATTTGTGTCACTCTTTTCATGTCAGTGCTGCACTGAAATGAAATTCGGTTTTGTTTTTCATCTATTGGGCAATCAAAAACAAACCATAAATCATTTGAATGAAACTGTATAAAGTTATTTACTTTATTTTAATTCTTTATTGCATGAATTTCACAGCTGCCTGGGAAGAGTACAGTATTCACAAGATGTCAAAACTGTACCCAGTGCTCCCCACACGTGAGCTCAACCTACCCCTAGTGCATCAGGAAGCCTGTGGTTCTTAAACCAATGGGAAAGGAAACAAAACGCTCATTTCGAGAACAGGCTAGATCAGCAGAATTCACAGAAGGGAGCTTTGCTGTAAATGTGCATTCAGGCTTGTTTCCAGAATTGGTTGAGGAAGTGCTAGCTTCCTATAACCCTAGCAGTGGGTCTTGCTCATGCAACAGAAACATTACATCCTGACTTATCAAGCCAAACATTAATTTTATAATTAATTTCATACCAAGTTGACAAAATGATATATTGTTAAACCAATATAAAATTGAAAGAGTAACTGCAACGGAATATATAATTTAAAATCATTTTAATTAACTAAAGAAAAAAGCAAGCTATTAAGTCGTAGAAGTAACAAATGCAGTCAGGTATATAACTCATAGGAGGGACCATGAGTACAACCATACATATTTGTCTTTTCTGTGTAATTTAACCTATTTGTGTAAATCATTTTAAAAAACCACCTGAGGTGAAAAAATAAGGCTAAATACAGCTCTTCTGACTTCTTAAGTAAACAGCCCTCTGGAGAAATGCTAAGAACAACCTTCTAAAAACTATAAATTCACCATGATAATTGGTTGATTCCCACATCATGCTAAACCACTCTGAAAATACATCACAGTTGGTTGAATGTTTTCACTGAATAACCCACTAGAGTGCTGAGAGATGGGTTTTTTTCAAGCCTTGTCTTGCTAGTTTCTAACTCATTCCAACAACCTGTTTCAGCACATATTCCTGACAGGGAATATTCCCATTCTGTTATCCTTTGTTCCCCTACTACATTAGTGGCCTTTTTACTATCAGTTTGCTAAGTACTCCGAGTGTTTGTATGCCTTGCCTAGTGGAAAGTTTCCAACCCAGGTCTCACCTCATGGCAGTTCTATACCTGTCTATTCTTGTTCTGCAAATAAAAAATTTAAACGCTCCCTTTTGGGGTTTCAGTCTTAGCTCAAGCTTTTGCTATGGATAGCATGATGCTTTCTTTGCTTGCCAGAGAAGAGGTTTTTGCTTCTTGTCCTTGTCTTACACTTCCACTCCCATTGTGGGAAGCAGCTGCTGCTTACTGTTCCTTTCTTCCTACCCCTCTCCTCTGTGCTATGAGATGTTTTGCTGTCTGCTCACCTGCACACCCCCAACTCCTTCCACAAGACAGAGAAGCCACTTTTGCTTAACTTCCCCTGTTGTCAGTTGGCAAAGTGAGTACTCCACTCTTCACACACCCACCCCAATCTGACCTGTCTGGATTCTGTGCCATTACCAACATAGATGGTAGTAGTGGGATATTTTTAAAGTCTAGCAGGATTTGAATATTTATTTCTGTCTCCTCTGTATTTCTCCCTTTTCTCACTGTTTCTCCCTGCCTTTTTCCACTTCTGGGATCCTGCATTTCAAATGAGCATTTATATAGCCTTGCATTATATTAGATCCATAATTACCAGATCAAAATGTCATTGAGAGAACAGTTGGACAATTTTCTCATTATACATTTATTTTGCTACAGGTGCAACGGGATAGAACAGGAACAGGACAGAAAAGCATATAGTGACAGAGCGGTGCATTTGCGGTGTGTCAGGTTTTGCTCCTCCATGCTAACACCTCATTCCACTCAAAACGGATCTAGACCACAGTGGTTGGCCTCAACTGTCCCTCAGACTTCTTTAAATCAGTTGCTGTTCCCTCCTACTCAAGCAGTGGTACAAGTAGTTTTTCAGTTAGCTTTAGATGATAGCACACATGGCCAAAAGATCTCCTATAGGATGTGCAAAGAAGACTGGATGTCAAGACACATACTGAGATAGGGGCAGGCTTGGAAGTTGAAGCAGTCAAGGTACCACAAGATGGTTCACTGCAGAAAAGAAAAGGGGTGGAAGGAGAGTAACTTCTGCAGGGCACTGTAGGAATACAGCTGTTACTGAGCTTCCACATTATGTCCTTGTCCATATGCATGCAAGACTACTGCCCGAATTCAAATAGCATATGTCCGCCTGTCAATGACAGTAGTTTGTTCCCTCATCAGTTATTCAAGGACGAGACCCAAAGTTGTCATGCCCTTACACACTTGAGAGAGATGCTATGGTGCAGGTTGATCAGATAGAGACAAAATTGTTCAATGTTCCTTCTACTTTTGTATTTGTTCATTTCCTTGAAAAGCTCATATGTACTTTCCGAATACTTCAGTAGCAGTGACCAAGTCCCTTGAAAGTGGCACCTGGTTAGTTACAATCTTGTTTTGGAGATGTACCACCTTTTGTGTGTTGCTTGGTGGCAGCTCTTCCTCCCTCGGGCTGCGCAGGCTCTACAGCTGCTAGAATTAGTTGCTTTGCTGGCTATTCAGGCTGTTCTTTAGGTTCACGTTCTCTTCCAGGGATTTCATCTCCACTCTCTTCTTCCAGAAAAATGGTGAAGGATGTGTCATTAGGGTCTACAGAGAAGCCTTGCAAGTCTAAGCCTAGTGGGCATGACTTGGCTCCATCCTCTAATACAGAGATCCCTTCAAACTCATTACCCACATCTTCTGGAAGTTCCCTAGTACTTTTAAGCCGAATGCACTGGGTTTTAATATTTTTATTGTATAACTTTGTTTTTGTATAATTTTGTATATCTTTGTTTTTGTTGTAAGTCGCCCTGAGGCTTTGTTGCGATGGGGGCAGCATAAAAATGTTTTAAATAAAATAAATAAATAACACAGGACTGCATCAATGCTATGAGCAAAGGACTACATATTTGGTCTACATCAGCAACACTGTGATGTGTCACCTGCTGTTCCTCCTCCACTCAGGTCCCCAGAAAAAAACAGGTGTTTGGACTGATATCCAACACTTGTATGAGGAGACCCAGTTCCAAGTGCATTTTCTTTGGAACCACACCTTCTAAAAGAAGGAGTATTTCTGGTTCACATAACATATTCCTGCACCTTCTTGTGCACAGAATTGGGATGACCATCAATGAGGACAAGAATAGACTGTTCAATCATGCTGTCTTTAAAAAACTGCTCTTCTCTCTAATGAATGCTTTCCAGCTTTGTGCCATTTGGAAAAAAATGTACCTGGAAGTTAAAGCTTCATAATTTGACATGTAGCAATATATATGATCTGAAATATAATCTTATTCTGGACAAGAAACAATCAAGGGATTGGCTATTCTGGATAGACTCCAGAAAAGGCCTGCAAAAAACACTAAACTCTCTCAGTGGTTTCCTCTTTTGAAAACAGAATTTTATAGAGCTAACTATCTGTCCTGATTGAAACCATTCTCTTTAAAAAAGCAGGTTGCTTACCTGTAACTGATGTTCTTCGAGTGGTCATCTGTGCAGTCACACATATGGGGTGCTGCGCCTGCGCAGTGCCTTTGGCCAGAAGATTGCGAGCTAACGTTTTTTGGCGGGAAAAAGCTCCGCTCCCCCTCCCCCATAGCCTATAAAGAGCGGAGCATCCGCCATTTTGTTCAGTCTTTGACAACTGAACGTACGCCCCCATGTGAAAAAAGTTTTCCACTACTGTAAGGGAAAAATCGGGACCATGAAAAAAGGAAACCTTCGGTACCGACTAACACATCCACTCACTGACACCAAGCGGGGCCAGCGGGTGGGTTGTGTGACTGCACAGATGGCCACTCGAAGAATATCAGTTACAGGTAAGCAACCTGCTTTTCTTCGTCATGGCCTCTGTGCATCACACATATGGGTAGACTAACAAGCTTACCATAAATGGAGGAGGGGAGGTGTCCTCAATGAAGAATAGATGAAAGAACGGCTCTGCCAAAGGAGCAATCTTGGCGAGCACGAACATCTAGATGATAATGTTTGGCGAAAGTGCAAGGATTCGCCCAAGTAGCAGCTCGGCATACATCATCAATCAGGACTCCCGATGCGAAGGCAGAGGAGGTAGCAACGGCCCTAGTTGAGTGACTTCAAGGAGCTGTAGGTAAGTCAATCCTAGCCAGCTGATAGGATAAATTAATTGTATGGACTATCCACTTGGAAAGTCTCTGAGAAGTGACTGGAGCGCCTTGATCTCTGGTGGAATATTTAACGAATAGCTTATTCAAGCGTTGAATAGATTCAGTCCTCGATCTATAGAAGGCTAAGCAGCGCCGAACGTCAAGTGAATGCAATGATCTTTCTAACGGGGTTGACGGAGACGGAAAAAAGGCAGGTAAGATAATTTCTTGTCCCATATGAAAAGATGTGGCCACCTTAGGAAGAAAAGATGGATCGAGCCGCAAGACGACCTTTTCTCTGTGAAAATTCAGGTAAGGCGGGTCTATGCGGAGAGCGCAGAGCTCACTGGCTCTTCGAGCTGAAGTAACCACCACAAGAAATGCTGTCTTCCAGGAAACA